CTAGGTGCTTGACTCCCTTCTCCAGCACCCCTGTCAAATGGCCATTGGGCCTCTGCTGAGACCTCCAGTGATGGGAGAGCCCTCTACCTTCGGGGGGCTCTCACCTGTGGAAAGTCTGTTCTTCTGCAGGAGCTAAAGTCTGTCTCCCTGTAGCTTTTACCTCCTGGCCTTAGGGTCACTCTCATAGTGCTAGGCCATCTCAGAGTGCTGCCCCCCACCTCTTCTTCTCCAGGCTAAACGTTCTCATGAAGTCCTTTCCACCGTTTCTGTCTGCTCCCCTCCTCAGGGTTGGGCATGCTCACCTCAATGCTACACACCACTGATACTCTTCAAGTGTGGTTCTGGCAATCACAACCACAGTGTGGCAGGACTCTCCCCAATGTTTTCTCCTTAGGTAGTCTAAGTGCCTTATTTTGTGTGTGTGTGTGTGTGTGTGTTCGTGTGCGGTTTGGAGGGAGTGCTTCCCTCCCACTTCCTTGACTCACATTGAGCTTAGTCAGCTGAAACTCTTACATCTCCTCCACCCCGTATTTGTATAGTTTCGTTTTTGTTTTTGTTTTAATTCCAAAGGTAGATGCATGTTGCTTCCTGATGAATTCCTAAGATCCAGGTTTTGGTCTAGTCTCCCTGATCTCTTTGGATCCTGAACCCGTCACTGTCACCACTTTCACGTCATCCGCCAGTTTCATCAGTAAGGTGTCCAACTTCCCATTAGAGCCACAGTAAAGACGTTTTATATGGCAAGTATCAGATGTTGGCCTCCAGCTGCCAGGCTGAGATAGATTCTTCCAGGTTTGATTTTTCAGCCTGTTTTAAGGAAAGCCATGTTTCTTTTTGCCACTTATATTTATGCCTTCTACATTAGGAAATCAATATTCAAATTCTAAAATGGCTGTATTAAACACGAGAGAGAACCAAGAAGGTTTAAGAAGGTACTAGTATTATCTGGATTTCTCTCTGCTGCAGATGCACCGTTAATGTACTCAGAGGACTCCCGGCTCCATCTAGCGGCCAGGGTTACAAGCTTTCCTTACTGTGTCTTAGGCTATTCCTTTCCTCTGGGGGAAAATGCGAGTCCCAGTGAGGGTGGGAGGCTGGAGCGCACTGAATGACTTCTGCCTGGGCTGCAAGAGGCACACTTTCCTTTTCCAATAAGTGAAAGTAGAACAGCCAACTCTTTCTGTTTGGAGCTTAGTTGACTTTTGTAGAAAAAACAGGTAACACCTTCAATTCATCTAATTCTAAAATCTGGAGCAGGCATTGAGGCAATCCAGGACACAGAAAAAAAGAAAAACGGCATTAAAATGTAACTTTCAATTCTGCAAGTGGCCTGTTAAGGGAACATGGAGGGGGGCTGAGAAGGAGGTGGCAGGTCATGACAAAGAAAGGATGAGATAAGGGGGTGCCAAGGAAGGGAGAAAGAGGCATCTCTGTGGAGAGAGTTGTCAGAAGGTGAGCTCTCCTCCAACCCTCTCCAGGAACTTTACCACTGGAAACACTGAGGGACCTTCTCAGACGTGTTGTGTGAAGGACAAAGGCATTTAGATGTTGACATAAGAAACCAGGAAATTAGCAAAAACTGGATTTTGAAGACAAATAAGTCATTAAAACGCCTGACCTAGTAATTTATAACCTTTCTAGAGATGAATGGATTCCAAGAACAGCTCAACTATTCGTTGGAAGAGAGAAAGACCCTTAGTTTGGGTACTTTTCCCCCCTAAAGACGCAGCACTAACCCTTTTGCTCTGACTCAGTTCTGCCATTGGCAGGATGGCCATTCTCATGGGAAGATCCCTGTCCTTTTTAAACAACTGTAAGGTTTTATTTGGGGGCCACAGGACACCAAAGAGATGTCAAAGGGGCCAAGCCAGTATTGAGCCAGCCCAGTCATGAGAATCCCGAGTTCGAAGGACCTAGGATGTTCACCTCCTGCTTGATGAAGAAATCCCCTTTAGGACACAGTGTCACCCATGAAGGGTGGCCCAGACCTCTACTGGGCAGGCTGGATGGCTTGAAGGTTTTCCCTCAATGTGAGCTGAAATTTGTCTTTCTCTGCTCTCCCACCCATTGATCTTCTTCCCCCCTCTAGCGTGTAAAGAAAGCTTCCTCCAAGGAATCCTTCAAATGTGGCAACGCTTCTATTGTGACAAAAAGCAAAAGCAGGTGGTGAGAGGGAGAGGGCACAGGGCAGAAATCATCCATTTGGCTTCTCTGGTCTTTTTTTTTTTTTTTGCTTGGCGGGTGTGGGAATCCGGGGCTCTGCCGGCTGCCATATTGCGCAAGTAACACTGCGTACGAAGGAGAGATGGCTGTGCTCCAAGAAGAGAAGAATGAGTGAGGGACAGGCGGGGATAGGTAGGGAGAGATAGGTGGGGGGCTACGGGATCAGGCTCACAGAAATCCCCAAAATGCAGAGGTGTAAGGAAACCAGCGATAAGGGAACACACCAGACCACCCTGCCCTGGGGGTCCGGGGTGGGGGTGGGGGCTCTTTTTTTATGACAGTCACCTGTGACCAACAAAGAATAACCAGACCCCAAACAAGAAGTAAGCCATTAAAGATGTTATCACTAAGTCCTTACGCAAACCAAGACTTCACAAGAATGATAAGGCCACAAGCTCCCTGGTCAGTTTTAAATAAAAGACCGTCAGTGGAGGCCCACGTTGACAACCCTGGCGGGGCCCCTCTCACTCCTGAGAGCTTTTTCTGTATCCTTGCTTAGTAGAACTCTATCGCTTTACTCACTCCCCTTTGTCTGAGAGATTCATTCTTCGACTCTGTGAGACAAGAACCTAGCTCTCCGGCTTCAAGAACACCCATGGAAAGGCCAGATAGAATTTCTGAAAGCCCAAGGGTAGCGAGGACCGAACACAGTGTGTCAGATCGGGCTGGAGCTACTCCTTCCAAAAGCTTCAAGTGATCATCAAATTAGCAAATTTTTGGGTTAAAGGGCTCCCGGAAGAAACTCTATTACTAAGAATCCAGGCTTGCTTTAAAAGAGAAATAGACCCAGGACCATGGTACTGTATATGACAGATTTTCTATAAACTTATAATTTGTTTAGCCTAATTGGTGAAAGAATATATATATATATATATATAAAACCCTTGAACGACATGGGTTTGAACTGCATGGGGGGGGTCCACTTATACAGAGATTTTTTTTTTCTGATAAATACCCTACAGCACTGTAAATGTATTTTCTTTTCTTTGTGATTTTCTTAATGACATTTTCTTTTCTCTAGCTTACTTTATTGTAAGAATACCCTATATAATGCATATGATATATAAAAATATGTGTTGATTGATTATGTCCTTGGTAAGGCTTCCAGTCAATAGCACGCTGTTAGGACCTTTTTAGGGAGTCAAAAGTTATAGATGGATTTTTAACTGTGCAGGGGGTGGTTGGCACTCTGAACCCCCACATTGTTCAAGGGTCAACTGTATGTATATATATGTTTGTGCGTGTGTACACAGGCACACACATATTCTTTCATTTTAATTGACTTTTCAGATCGTTTACCTTTCAATACGCACTGCATCCCCCTTGCAGCCTGAGGCCTCTGGAAATGCAGAGTTAGGTGAAGGGCACTGGGGACGACCCAGCTGCTGTGGCTGTCACTGAAGGAGCCCATGGCCCCTCTCCCTCTCTCCCTGGCTAGTGGCATGAATGCAGATCTTAGTGCTCGAGTCTGGGATGGTGAGATACAGGTTGCGAGTCGTAGTGGGAGGGAGGGATGAGAAATCACCAACAAAAATCCATAAATAATACTGGAAAAACCAAAGGGAGACTCTTTCTAATACAAACACAGGTTTTATGCTAAGACCGGTTGGTCAGACATTCCACCGGGTGAGGTGTGGCGCCCAGCCTAGGGTAGGTGGCTGCAGACGTGGGAGAGCCCAGGGTACAGACTTGAGAGGCACCACGGCTGGGGGGCCCCTGGTGTGCCGTTCCCTGGGGGGCACATATCCCCTGGGGAACGGAATCAGAATTTCAGGCATCACCTTGCTACCCCAGTGGCTTTCTTGTGTCAAGGGCAATTCCATTAAGGATGGGGTTTAACAAAACCTGCACAGAGTCCTGTAACCAGGATCTGGGACCTTGTCGGGAAGAGATAAACAGAAAGAGACGTGGGAAACAACTGAGTGCGGTGGATGCTGTCTTGACCTCTGGCCAGAGGAAAGAATTCTAGAGCTGGGCTTTGATTGCTGAGTGGGAAATTTCTCAGTCGCTTGGTCTGAAATGAAGCTGCATCTTGTAGACCTAAGACTTTTAGGCAGGTGAGCTGTGTGGTCGGACTCAACCCTGCCACCGAACAGGTGAATATACCTGGCAGGTCAATTCCTTAAGTTGAGTCTTGGTAAAATGGGGATAATGATTCAGTCCCTGGCTCCCATTCCGGGACTTTGTGTGCCACTACTGATCTAGTATCTGTGAATACACCTGCGAAATAATCAAGCACTCTTTGACAGGAGATATTTGTGTCACAAGGCAGGAAAAAGCCTCATGTCTTTGAGTGTATGAAAATAGGCACCACCGACTGGGTAACAGTGGGAAGCAGGTGTCTCAGCAAGGCTTAGTGGGGCTCCGGGGTGGGAGCCGCCTCTTCCGACTGTCGAGGGACCCCGATATTGAAAAGGCCAGAAGCACCATGGACAAGGCAGCGCCGCATGAGGGCCCGACTTGCTGACTTAGAAAGTGCTAGCACGAGAGTTGATGGAGAACTACGAGCACCCCCCCACCCCCCACCGCTTGGCTTTCAGAGAGCACCTCACCAGGTGCCAGGGCTCCCAAGGAGGGATCATTGGTTTATGGCGATGCTAAAGGACAACCGTGGCTTGGCTCCGGGGCACCACGTGGACGCTTTCCCGAAGGTGGGGGTGGTGACTACGCCGGCTGGCAGCACGGGGGGTAGGGGGCAGCCCCCGGTGGAGCAGCGGCCGGCCAGCCCCCCTGCTCCCCACCTCCCGGACCTGCCCTCCTGCCGCGGCGCGGGGGTGTTATCTGCTCCCCAGGAAGCCCGCGTGCCTGTTGGCCCCGCGAGTGCAGGACGCGCAGCAGGCGGTCTTGTAGTAATTGTAGACGCAGAGTCGCGCCTGCACCACCACGTTGCAGTTGTAGTACCTGTCCTTGCAGTTTTCATCTGCAGCAAGAGAACAGAAAAGACTCTCTGAGCACAGAGCCAGCCGGGACCAGTGGGAGGAGAAAGGGCGCGAGACATGGCTTTCTGTCCTGGTCCTGCTTTAATACCTGCGGGAGGTGTAGGGTGGGCCAAGAGCTTCCATTCTTCTTCTTTTCTTTTAAACATGGTAACAGAGTTAGGTGTAGAGAATATAATTCAATGGACTGTGGTCTCGCTGCTCATCAACACAGACACAATTCCCAGAGTTCACTCCGTGACCGCCTCCCCCTTTCTCCTCACTCCTGAGGAATCAAGCCCCTCATGTGGTGTTTAGTATCCCCAGTCCTGTCTTTATACTTGAACTGTAAATGCTGGTACCCTAATCACTATGTGGCATTTCAACTTAAAAAAAAAAAAAGAAAAGAAATGATGCAGATTGTATATATTCCTTGGCAACTTGCTTAACGTTGACTTTGTGTGATTCGTTCATGTTTAACAAATGCTCGAGGGAGTTCATTTTCATTACTGAATAGTGTTCCATCGTACATTCTACAACTTATTGATCCATTTTCCACTGACAGTTTTCAATTTTTTATGACTGCAAACTTTGCCCCTTTAAACAGCTGTTACACGTGCCCTCTCTGGGTCTTGCTGGGTCATAAGGTATCTGCAAATCTACTGGCTCTCATCAGATTGCTCTCCGAAGTGGGTGCAACAATTTATATTTTTGTCAGTGGTACAGAATGCTTTTGCTTTCTTTTGCTTATGCTGCGTGTTTTATTTTTTTGCTGATCTGGTGGATGTGACCTTACCCCCAAAGGAGGTTGAACAGATCATCATATGTTTATTTGCCATTTGAGTTTCCTTTTCTATGAATTGCTTTTCCTATCTTTTGACCACTTGCTAATTTAGTTAACTTAAAACAAATGATTCATGGAAATTCTTGACATATAATGGATCCTGATCCTTTATTCATTAGATGTGTTGCAAATACCTTCTCCACGCCTGTGGCTTTTCTCATCACTTTGCTGCAGTGTTATTTGTTAAAAAGATTGTATTTTTAGGGCGCCTGGGTGGCTCAGTCGGTTAAACGGCTGCCTTTGGCTCAGGTCATGATCCCAGGGTCCTGGGATCGAGACCCTCATCGGGCTCCCTGCTCGGCGGGAAGCCTGCTTCTCCCTCTCCCTCTGCCTGCCTGCCGCTCCCCCTGCTTATGCTCTCTCTCTCACTATCTCTGTCTCTGTCTTAAATAAAAATAAATAGAATCTTTAAAAAAAAAGATTGTATTTTTAATCTAACAGATGTTATTATATTTTCATTTGTGGTTTGGTATTTGTGTTTCTCATTTACAAAATCCTTCCCTACACTAATATATATATATTTCCCCATATTCTCTTCTAAGAGTTAAAAAAATTTCTCCTCACATTTGTAATTCACCTGGAATTGATGTGTATGTGTGTGGTGACAAGTAGGAGTTCAATTTGTTTTTTTCCTATATGGATAAACAATCGTCTCATCAACATGCACTGAATGTTTCCTCCCCAGATTCATACTGTTAACCTTGACCATGTATCATGCACCGTAACATGCTCAGATTTATTTTTGGGCACTCTATTCTGTTCCATTTGTTTGTGTATCCTTGTGAAGTATGTCCTGATACATGGTAGGATACATTTCCCAACATTGTTCCTTATCAAAATTACCTTGGCTATTATTGGGTCTCTGCTGTAAACTTTAGACACAGTCTGTCTGATTTTTCTATGAAAAGCCCTGTCTAGATTTTGATTAACATTGCTTGAATTTATAGACCACGTTCTTTTTAAGATGTCAATTCTATCCTGTGTACAGTAACATAATTAACCATTTCCTTCTACCGGTAGAAATATAATTGCTTCTAATTTTTATGAGTTACAAGAAATTCTACAATTCATTCATTTATTAATTCTACACAATTTACTGAGCCTTATTCTTTGTGTATATGTATATCTGTACAATTTTGAGAGTCTATCTTTATTATTTTTTCATTTATTTGACACAGGGAGAGAGACTGCGAGAGAGGGAACACAAGCAGGGGGAGTGAGAGAGGGAGAAGCAGGCTTCCCACCGAACAGGGAGCCCGATGGCGGGGCTCGATCCCAGGATCCTGGGATCATGACCCGAGCTGAAGGCAGAAGCTTAACGACTGAGCCACCCAGGAGCCTATCTTTAGTATACATTTCTAGAAGTGGAGTTACTGAGTCAAAGATATCAAATACTTTATATATTGAGTGATATTGCCAAAGTTCTCTAAAAAGATTACACTCAGTTACAAGCAGGAGCCTGTACGACTTCTCTCGCTATTTCTTCCTCCTGGCTCCCGGCTGGACATTTTCTTCTTATATTGGTTGTATCACATTCCAATAAGGTATGTTTCATATTTTTCTCACAATTGTTGCTCATTCCCTGTCTCTTTTCCTTTCTTCTTTTCTTCCAACTTGGGTTATGATGTCTATGATGGCTAATTTTATGTGTCAAATTTACGGGTGATGGGGAGCCCAGATGAAACATGATTTCTGGGTGTGTCTGGGAGGGTGTTTCCAGGTGGGGTCAGCATTTTTTTTTTTTTTTAAGATTTTATTTATTTGAGAGAGCAAGAATGAGAGACGGAGAGAGAGCACATGAGGGGGGGGGAGCGTCAGAGGGAGAAGCAGACTCCCCGCCGAGCAGGGAGCCCGATGCGGGACTCGATCCCGGGACTCCAGGATCACGACCCAAGCCGAAGGCAGTCGCTTAACCAACTGAGCCACCCAGACGCCCTGGGGTCAGCATTTTAATTGATGGGCCCAGTAAAGCAGGTGGCCCTCCCCAGTGGAGACGGGCCTCACTCACTGAGGGCCTGAATAGAACATCAAACAGAGGAAGGAGGAATTTGCCCCTTCCCTGCCTCACTGCTTGAGCTGGACATTTCATGTCATCTTCTCCTGCCCTTGGGCCAGAATTTATATGATCAGCTCCCCTGGTTCTCAGGCCTTCAAGACTCAGATTGAATTATACCAGCAGCTTTCTTGAGTCTCCAGCTTGTGACTGGTAGGTTGTGGGACTTCTCCGCTTCTACGTTCATGTGAACCAGTTCATCATAATGAATTTTTTTCTATCATCTATCTATTATCTATCTATCTATCATCTATCTATCTGTCTACTCACTCATCCATCCACTCATCTATCCCATTGGTTCTGGATCTCCAGAGAACCTTGACTATAACAATGTCCTTAACAGAAGAAAAGTTTTTAATTTATTATGTTATGTTTTTACATTCAGCAATAAGGCCTCTGAGTTTTGTGTCTAGCTTATGAAGGCTTAACCAACCCCAAGAATATCTATCTTTTCTGGTATTTTTACAATGTGTTTTCTATGCAAAGGTCTTTAATCCTTTAGGCATTTATGTTTATATATGGCATAAAGCAACATTTAAAATGTTTTGCTTTGTTTTTTTTTAAAAATGGATCTTTGATTATCTGAATGCAATGAAAGTCTCTCCTCTCCCCACTTCCTTAACATTAGGTTTTTATTGGGTGCCTGGGTGGCTCAGTCAGTTAAGCGTCTGCCTTCAGCTCAGGTCATGATCCCAGGGTCCTGGGATTGAGCCCCACGTCGGGCTCCCTGCTCGGCGGGGAGCCTGTTTCTCTCTCCCTCTTCCACTCCTGCCTGCTCATGTGCTCTGTCTTGCTCTCGCTCTCTCTCAAATAAATAAAGTCTTAAAAAAAATTAGGCCTTTATCATACTTCACTTCCGTTGTACCAGAATTCTCTATTATAACACTCATAACCCTGTCTCTTCCTGACTCAGCATATAGTTTTCTGTATTTTATAATGTGTTCAAGTATATGATATGGCAATATACTTGAGCATATTATATGTTGAACCTCATGAACCTTCTTTTATCCTCTTTACAGATTTTTTAAAAAAGATTTTATTTTTTAAGTAATCTCACACCCAAAGTGGGGCTTGAACTCATGACCTCAAGATCAAGAGTCTCATGCTCCACAGATTGAGCCAGCCAGGCGACCCCTCTTTACAGTACTGAGTGTTCCCATTCAGGAATAATTAGTCTCTTTATCCATTCACATTTCTTATTATGTTCTATATCAAGGTTTTCTTATTTTTAATTATTAACAGCCTTTTTCTAAATAAGTTTAGACCTTTCTTATTAATTTTCTTCCTTCCACTGTTTTACACCTACAATTAAAAGTTGAAATGTCACTCCTTCGACCTTAAAGATAATGGAACCAAATCTCTGAAATCATTACCATTTTAGTCAATTTGCATTTAAGTTTGGAGGGTGGCTTGGATCACCACCCAAGCTATGGATGGTCATCTTAAACTATGAAACTTATCATATTGAAAGTGTTTTGAACCCCTGAGCCCCATGACTGTGCACAAGGTCATGGAGAGACAAGGATGGGCTTGGCATTTTCATACCAGGTAACTTGCTGGGGTTTAAGAAGGGTGTGTTTTCTCTCCGAGATAGGAATCCCTACTTACCAACTTCAGGGACACAGTCCTGAGGGTTACACGATTCTTTCTCTTCTGGTTTCAACTGAGGGTCACAGAGATTGCTTAGGGTCATGTCATCTGACAGGCAGCGCACTTCGCGGACGCGGAAGCCACCCTGGCAGCTCTTGGAACACTGCATGGTGACAAAAAGAGAGGGGTAGGTTTTTGGCCGTCCATTAGCTCACCACATTGGAAGGGCAGATACTGCAAAATTTCAAACATCTTCGAAAGGAGACGAAATACTAAAACAAACTCCCATGCATCAACAAACATCAACAACCATCAACTCATGGCCAACTGTGTCCCATCTATACCCCACCCATGTCTACTCCACTTCTATTTTGAGGCAAATCTAGACATCACATCAGTTCTTCTGTAATATTGCAGTTTGTAGCTTTGAAAGGCAAAACTCTTAAAAAGTCACCACAATTGTATTATTACACCTAGAAATTAACAATATGTCCTTATCTTCAAAAATATATTCAGAGTTCCCATTTCCACTTCTCTTGTGAATCTCAAGTTTTTAATACTTTTTTTTCTTTTTTGAATCAGGATCCACAACAGCCCACACATTGCAGTTGACCGACAGGCCTTTTAGGACTCTCTTTTTTTAATATTTTCTTTATTTATTTGACAGAGAGAGAGAGAGAGCACAACCAGGGGAAGTGGCAGGCAGAGGGAGAAGCAGGCTTCCTGCCAAGCAGGGAGCCCGATGCGGGGCTCGATCCCAGGACCCTGGGATCACGACCAGAGCTGAAGGCCGCCGCTTAACTAACTGAGCCACCCAGGGGCCCCTAGGACTCTTTTTAATCCACAGGTTCACCCCCATTGCCTTTTTCCCCCCATTGTACTTTATTATCTGGAGGAAAGGAGTCATTTGTCCTGTAGAGTTTCCCATAGTCAGGATTTTGCTGACTGCATCTGCATTGTACAGTTTAACATCTTTCTCTGTCCTCTGCATTTCCTGTAAATTGGAAGTTGGGTATAGAAGAGGCCCTAACAGGTGCAGGTTTGTTTGTTTTTGTGGTGAGACTGCTTCATTGGATGTGTGTGGTTGTCTCTGTTTTGGGGATGTCAGCAGCCACGGATGTGCCATGTCCAGATCTATTAATTCACTTGTGGTTGAAGAAAGGTGGTAAAACTCTATCATCTCTTCTTCTTTTATTAGCTAGGGAACGAAAGTAATCCCTGCCCCCATCCCTACCTAGATTTGCTCTTTGGTACACCCAGTGGTACCGCTTGTTTAGGAAAGACGGGGTAAATGCTTGATTACTTTCCTTTATCAGTCTTCAGAATAATGAGATGGTTTCCCTAATGGTGGATCCTCCAATGAGTTTTTTGTTATTATTATTATACACTTATTATAAATGGATGGGTTTAAATACATGTGATGTATTTCATTCAATCTATGGCAATTAATATCTTTACTGATGTTCACTGATGTCTCCTCAGTGGCTAGTCTGAACCCTCAAAACTTGGTTCTTGAGTCCTTCGGGCATGAACTCCATTGTCTTTGAGAACTTCCTTGCCACCTGGGATAAAAAGATATTCTAATCTAATTTGTACGTATACAGTCCCAAACCTGGAATCAGCTGTTCTCTAAGAATTCCTGGTTGCTTTTAGTGGAGAGTGGTATTTTGAGACCACACTTTGGCTGATAGGCATGCCTTTTGCTACTGGATTGGCCATTGTTTCTAGGCTCTTTCAATGGGTAAATGGGTAAAACTGGGAAAGAACTTTTTTTTAAGATATTTTGTGAGTTCATACTGATGTTTCTGATTCAAATTCAGGAAAACAGGGTTTTTCACTTAAACCTCTTCTATCTCATCTGTATCTCCATTCTCCTAAGTTGAGAATCCTATTTCTCAAGGATCCTGGGATAGATAGAAAGATACTACCATATTGTCATATATACTATCATATATATTATCATAAAGTAAATTACTTGTTCGCTTTATCACTCACTATCCACTCAACTATCTCAGATTACAGTTCAACACTCTCACTAAAAATATGATCATTGCAAACAGTGTCAACATTTTCTAATTCTCTTGGTCCTTAAGGATAGACAGTCAAATTACTATTTTTGTTTGTTTTTTTTTGTTTGTTTTCCACTGGGTGTGGAGCCCAACATGGGGATTGAACTCACGACCCTGAGATCAAGACCTGAACTGAGATCAAGAGTCAGATGCCTAACCAACTGAGCCACCCAGGTGCCCCAAATTACTGTTTTAAAGCCACCTGCAATAGTGCTGATGCTGCCAACTGGATACGTATTTAGGTTAATTTGTTTCATTCTGTTTTCCATTTTTTGGGATTCCTTTTTTCAAATTTAATTTTGTTTTAGAATTATCTAAATATCAGTTTACTCAAACTTATAAAACAAGGCATATCCAAAGATATCTCTCTTCCTTCACTGTCTTCGCGTTACCATAACCATTTATTTCATATTTGTTTCAGTTTACTTGTTTTGAATTTATATACAGAAAAAGTCACTTTTTCTGGTGGCGCACAGTTCTGTGAGTTTTGACAAATTCATAGAGTTGTGTATTTCCTGCTGCAAATAAGATCCAAGAGTTTCATCAAACACAGCAGATCGTCTTGTCCTGCCCTTCTGTAGCAAGACTCATCCCACCCCATCCTCTGGCAATCACTGATGCGGTCTCTGTCCCTGTGGTTGTGTCTTTTTCAGAATATATAAATGGAATCATACAATATGTAGCTTTTGGGGTCTTTCTTTCACTTAGCAAAGTGCATCTGAAGTTCAACCACGTCGGCTTGTTTGTTCTTGTTGCTGAGTACTCTTCTGTGGTTTGGGATGTACTGCTATTTGTTTATCCACTGGCCTGTGGAGGCACATCTGGGTTGTTTCCAGCCAGGTGTTTTGGGAGGGCATCTCTGACTTGGCCTGATGAACTTGGCCCTTTCTAGACCTTCCAAACCAACGGGCAAAATAACATAGTGATCTGTTCTTGCATTCTCAAAGGCCGTGGCCAACATCAAAACAATTGAATTCCATTTCCCAGAAGTCGACAAAACACCTTTCAAACTCAACACCTGCTTTGTTCCCATTTGCCTCTGAGGTGTGGTTTATCCGTGCCCAAAGCCTGTTATCACTGGAGTAGACATACACTGTTGGGAAACAGAATTCTCAGCTTTTATACATACATTTCATAAGCAAAATCCCTTTTATCACCTTTGCATGATTCTGAGAAAAGCTCTGGCCTCACTCTGGCTTCCCCTACAGGCTCTGCTGGATGATCTTCAGTGACAAAAGGCAGAACGAACCTCTGCCACCCCCTCACGTGTCCAAGGCATGGTCATCAGCAATGATGCCTTAGGCAGTTCCCTGCTTTAGGAAGGTTTTTGAAAAAAAATATTTTTTTATCCCTATTTTCATCCTTTCCCATTTTGTTCCTTAATTATCTACTTCTGTATTAACTCTTTCTCTCTCTGTATCTTCATTTACACACTACCCTCCCTCTTCACAGAAAGGATTTGAGAGGTCTTAAGAAATACTTAATGGTTTACAAGATTTAAGGAAAAAAAAGGTGAGAAGGCTGGAGCAAAAAAAAAGATAAAAGTAGGAAAGAGAGAGAAAAGCTGGGGCACATTAACATACAAAATCCACTCTGTGAGGTCTGATAAACTCTCTGAGAGATGGACCACAATTTTGGTTCTGAGTTTCCAAACGGCCAATTCAAAGAGAAAAACAGGATCAATCCCATAATCTACAAATCCATAATGTCTACAGGATGACGAAAAAAGTACGCACACACACACAGGTCCCTGAGGCCTGACAGAAATTCCTTCAGTGAGTTTTACAATGAGATCGCTGCACGATCTAGTATCCTCAAGAGCATCCTTGAACCCCTTCAGCCATTAATCTGCTGCAACATTTCTCAAAATGCAGTCCAAGGACACCTGCATCGAAGTCACCTAAAGAGCTTGTTCAAAATGCAAATTCCTCGGCTAGGGTGGACCCGGAATCCATTTTTTCAAACAAGATCCCAGTTGATTCTTATACACACTGAGATTGAAAGTCACTGCTTTATGGCCTCTCCAGTTTAGAGATCAAGATGGTCCCAGCCTCCGGCTCCTCCCACCAAGCAGGTTGCTTCTAGGGGTGCCCCGAAAGTGATAGTCTAGAGTAGGTCATTCTGACACGTAGTAGGTGGTCTGACTGTCTCTGGGAGGAAAGAAGAATGATGTACTCATGCAATCTCTGTCAAGAGCACCATGACTTACCATGCTCCATTCTGTGTTAAACCATTTGGCCCCGCAAGGCTTGAGGTGGCATGCTTGCTGGCTGGGGGGTCTCTCCAGGAAGGAACATTCATAGGGGTCCAGCACTTCAAAGGTGTCTGCGTTCTTCCTAACACAAATCACCTCCCTCTGTTGGGTCCCACTCCCACACTCGATGGAACACTGGAGAAAAATCAGAGAAGGATGGGTGTCACATGCTGGAAAGGGGACAGGAACATCAAGGGATTTTTATGAGTGTTTTCTATCATCAATTCAGTTAGGACGAGCCCAGGGACACCTGGAAAATGTTACTGGGTAAGATGTAACAAGTGGATGCCAGTTTTCCTAAGAGCTCTGTGTCGGGAATGGAGCATGGGTGCCCTGAGTTATCACAGCGCCAGGATGCTGGTCTCCAAGACCATGGTGCCCTCTGTGTGAGATTGAAATTGTTTCTTTTAGGGCGCCTGGGTGGCTCAGTCGTTAAGCGTCTGCCTTCGGCTCAGGTCATGATCCCAGGGTCCTGGGATCGAGCCCCGCATCGGGCTCCCCGCTCCGCGGGAAGCCTGCTTCTCCCTCTCCCACTCCCCCTGCTTGTGTTCCTGCTCTCGCTGTCTCTCTCTCTGTCAAATAAATAAATAAAATCTTAAAAAAAAAAAAAAAAAAATGGTTTCTTTTAGGCCACCTCTTTAGACGCCCCCTCCCCTGGCACACACAGAGGGACACATCAGTCTGTCAATTTGGTTGTTCCTGTCCAGTAGATTCTGACACTTCTCACTGCAAAACAATGAACTATCATTCTGGTTGATCTGCCGATCTCAGTGGGTGGATACTGGAAATGACTTAGTCTCTCTGATCCCGCACACTTTTGGACAAGGGGCTACATTAAAATTCTTTGGGACACACAAAGCTGAGAAGATCCCATACTGGGGACAATGTCCCCTAAGGTCAGCCCTCCCCTCCCAACAAGTGGCCAGCAGGAAACCTCTGACTGCAGGGTCCAAGCCTCTCACTTCCCCCTTTGGTGGGAAGCTCGAGAGGGTAGTCACCCAAAGAGGGTGGTCAATTACACATGTTCGTATGTTTTATTAGTTTACAGAAACGTGATGTGTATAACTGCTCACAAATTATTCTCTTTAGTATCTATTACTTTGTAAAGTGTTTCCTGTTCATGTCTGGTTTACTCTTAATACTTCCTGATTACAACATTTTAAAGCTGTGATCCATATACATCTTAAATAATCTACTTAATAACCTTAAATAATCTACTATCTTTATAAAAGCCTCTAACAATTTCTTTAGTTGAAACTCTTCATAGTAGCTCTGCTGTCCGTATGCAGGAACGTAGTCAAATAAAAACAGGGAAAAAACCACACATATCTACAGAAGAAAAAGGCAAACCCCAAACCAATAGACTATGGTCTATTAGTCACACAGGACGTAATAAGCATCACCCTCAGCAATTTCCACTTGGTGCCCTTTTTTTTGGGGGGGGGACATCTTCATAAGACAGCCAGAGGACAAATCTTCTTGGTTTGTTTTTCTTATTTTCTTCCATGTGAGTTAATGACTGATTTGGAGTATATTCCGGTTTTCTTTTCTTTTAAATTCTGTGGACAACAACAGCACTGGAGGCAGGAGAGGCGTGACCGGCTACCAGGCAAAGGCTTGGCCTCCGCTGCAGGGGGAGTGAGAGTGTGTGCTAAGGATCCAGGGGGCGGAGGGGGGAGGGGAGGGAACAGGAGACATGGAAACTAGTCCAGACATCCTCACTAAATAGCTCCGAGTCTTTGGCCAAGATATTGCACTTTCCTAGATGTCCACTGTCTCGCTTGCAAAATGGGGGTTTGGAAACCTGATCTGAAAGACCCCTGACTGCTCTGGGGGTCTGTGTCTGTACCGAGTGCTTGGTAGAATAGCAGACGACAAACCTTGACCAAAACTTGAAGCTACTTTCTGCTATTTTTTTTTAAGATTTTATTTATTTATTTGACAGAGAGAGACACAGCGAGAGAGGGAACACAAGCAGGGGGAGTGGGAGAGGGAGAAGCAGGCTTCCTGCCGAGCAGGGAGCCCGATGCGGGGCTTGATCCCAGGACTCTGGGATCATGACCTGAGCCAAAGGCAGATGCTTAATGACTGAACCACCCAGGCGCCCCTATTTTCTGCTCTTTTAATGAGGTCCTTAAGAGATTAGGCAATTAAGGGAGAATGAGCACATATCTCAGCCTTCTACCCTAAATGCCCAGAAATGGCAGAATATGGGTGTTAGGAACAAGCGAATGGTTGTGTGTGTGTGCGTGTGTGTGGGCGGGTATGTATGTATGCATGAAATAGCATTTGAAAACGGGAAAGGACATTCATCCTTGGTGGACCAGAAATTATGGGGAATATTTGAATGGTGAAAGGCAGGTGGGATTAAGTTGAAGGAGCACATCATAGTTCAAAAAGCACATAGAAGAGTATGCCCAGCAGAGAGGAAGCAGCTCAAGAGCTTCAGGTGAGAAGGAATACGAGAAGCAGGAAGGAGGCCTTGGGATGGTGAGACAGTGATCAGCTAAGGCACTGACCAGGAACAGCAGGGCAGGGCTGACTGGCAGGGGAAAATGAAGGCATCTGCCTCTACTATCAAAGGGCAAAGTGAGGACACTTTCGGATATTTAAGCGTTAAGAAACTTACAACTCACGATCCTATTCGAAAGACTTACTGGGTAGTGGTCTCTGATAAAATGAAAAAGAACCAGGAAGAAGACATAACCAGGAAAGACACAAAGTAGAAGAGTTGGTAAGAGCTATTGTTAATAATGGATACAGGGGTTTTGGGGGATGATGTTCTGGATGTTCTGGAATTAGACAATGGTGATGGTTGTACAGATTTGTGAATATACTAAACACCGCTGCATTGTGAACTTTTAAAAGGATGATTTTTTTTTATGGTATGTGAATTATATTTCAATTAAAAAAATAACCTTTGGAGGGGAGACAGCTATTTTTAAACCTAAATCAGTATTTCCTATAAAATTAATTAACATTAATATGGAGCTAGATCCAGATGATGTCAACATCTTTTTGGAGATATTGTGGATTGAGAAACTGGAGGTAAGTACATGGAGACTTAAGGCTTCTGTCTGCTTTTGGGGGAGGATGTGATTGCTGATAGCTTGACACAGAAACATGACAGTTTAAAACTCTGTGCTAAAAATTTGAGTGTTAGGACTACATGAATAAAAATAGGATTTATAACTTCCAAAATGTTAGAGGGGAAAGATGGAATTAAGGAACTCTGATCTGTGCACATGTGCAGAAAGGAAAGAAGAAACAGACCAAGAAAGCATGGCAATAACCTAAATAGGAAACACAAATTAAGATGGCAGGGAAAAGCCCAAGCATGTAAGTGATTACAATAGATGTGAATGGTTAAAATTAAGAAACAGAGACTTGCAGATTGGGTAAAATTAAAGACAAAAATAGTCCTGCATACAAAAGACATGTCTTAAAAAATACATAAAAATTGACAAAGATATACCAGGTGAAAATCAACAATGAGTAATCAGAGTAATTCAAATATCAGATAGAATATAATTCATAGAATTCATAGAAGAAAGGCATAGAAGACAGAGGTGGTATTTAACAGCAATAACAACTTCCACTGAGCAGTGGTAGTGATTATTTCTACACCTGAATAATTCCTGCATTTGTACTCTGGTGGATCACTGATCCAAGATGAGAGTGGAAATATCTGCACAGATGCCAGTGAAGATAAATTCAGACAGAAAGGCAGACAAAAGAGCTGCTCCCAATGGTAGAGACTGTGAAAGCACCCCCCCCCCAGAACAAGGACAATCTACAGGTGAAGTAAACCCAGAACTGGAAGGGAAGAAAAGAAACATCTGTGCATCAATCTAGGCACCAATCTAGATATTGGTGGAATAGCTTATGAGTAGGATTTAGGCTACTTTGGCACCAGGTATAAAAAAAACTCCTTAAGCTTGATAGGTCTCATTCTCTTGGGCTGGCTTTCTCCACAAGCCCTGACAAGGCCATCGCCAGCACCTCTGCTCACAACTTCTCAGACAGTCTCCTCCCTTAAGTCTACATTAAAGTCCCAGGGAAGGATTTTGCTAGGCTTGGCTTGGGTTCCATGTCCACCCTGGACAGTTCACTGTGCCCAGGCTCGTGGGGCGTTCCAGATGCCAACTTCATTCAAACCACATGGATAGAAGGAACATTTATTTTCACTTTGGTTTCAGTACATAAGCATGCTCTATTTCATTTTCTTTGGGGATAACATCAGAGTCCCAGGGTAGGGAGGTGACAGCAGGCTCCAACATCCTTATAAATCCAGAGCTAAAACCTTGTCACATTCAATCATGTCCTGACCCTTTTGGGCATCAGGGCACTGAATTCCATGTTTCTAATCTTGGCGGAAACAAACACTGCCTTCACCCACATTCACAATCACTCTCAGTTCTCTGAATAGGCCTGGAGTCAACAGGAGGCCCACAAGCAAAAAAGACCCTGAATCCTGCTCCCTTCTCTTCTGAGATTGGTAGACATTCAAGTTGAATTGCACTGCTAATCCTCACCATGTGGAGGTTGTCCCAGTTTCCCAGAGGACTCTTGCCTTTGCTTTGTTTCTGTGGCTATTTGGTGTAATGCAGTCCCCTCTGAATTATCTTTGGGATTTGGGTCCTAGGTGTTTTGCTACCAATAGTGACATGGAAAACAGCGGGCAGACAAAATAATAAACACAGGGAACAGGGAACTAACATGCATTAGTAGGTATTCTCATCCTCACGTTTGGATGGGGAAACAGGCTCCCAGATGTTATATTGCCTGCCCCAAGTCAGAAGAACTACAGAGAAGTAGAGCTGGGACCAGCTATCAGGTATGTCTGATTCTGATAGGCACTCGTGTGGCTCTCGGAGTACCTGAATTCTCTTTCTTTTTGAATTTTCTATATTTTACAGTTTGTATTATAAAAACATTAGAGGAAATTTGAGAAGAAAACATTTACCCACGTTGTTCATATAAAAACCCATTCTTCAAAGGGGCTGAGATAAAGTTCACTCACTGGTTTTCACTTGCCACTATATCATGTGTACTTTCTATGTCTCCCTAATTATCACTGTTGTTGTTACATAATATTTTAATGAGTTATGATACACTGTAATATCCCTACGTGCCCTGCTGTCATGAACACCTCTGTTAAAAAAGCCTGTTTTTCTTCTGTTAATTATTTCCTTAAGATGAATCCCCAGAAGTGGAGTGACTGGTTAAGGCAAATGAACATTTTTATGGTTCTTGACTTTTATTGCCAAATTGCTTTCCAAGGGGGTTGTATCAACTTACAAGGACTGGGCAGTCTATTTTTTCAGGGTCTGTTTTTAGAGCTACTTAAAAGAAATCAAATTCTATACGGAGCCAGGGGTCCTGATAATGTATAAATCATGATCATCAGCCAAAAAGTCCTTGGAGAACCAGCCAGTCCTGCCAAATGCTAAGTGGCCAGAGAACTCAAAATACTAACGGCAATCATAACAGGGCAGTAAGAAGGAACGATCTTTTCCACATTTTCTTAGGGGATTTGTGTTTAATTTTGGAACACTGAGGAAAACATCAGCTGATCAATGAAGTTACTTTATTAAAGTATTTGGTATTATCTGTTCTTTATAAGGAACAACTGCAACTTTTCCTATATCTGCTTCTATTTCCCCCCTCAGTTTTATTGAGCTATAATTGACAAATAAAATTGTAATATATTTAAAATGTACAAATGATGATATGATGTATGTATGCATTATGAAAGGATTCTCACAATTAAGTTAATCAACACATCCATCACCTCACATACTTACCTCTTTTGTGTGTGCATGAGAATGCTTACGTTCTACTCTCTTAGCAAATTTCAGTGATACAGTATTATCAATTGTGGTCACCATGTTATACATTAGATCTCAGAACGTATTCATCTTGTCACCAAAAATTTGTACCCATTTACCAACCTCTCCCCATGTCCCCACCCCCCAGACCCTGGCAAACACCATTCTGCTGTTTCCCTGTGTTTCATTTTTTTTTTTTTTTCAGATTCCACATGTAAGTGATACCATGTAGTATCTGTCTTTGGCTGTTTGGCCTATTTAACTTAGCATAATGTCCTTCAGGTCTACCCATGTTATCACAAAGGGCAGGATTTCCTTCTTTTTTATGGTTGAATATTCATATATATATATATATATATATAATATATATACACTATATATATTCCATTATATGTATATATATATACACACACACACACACAATATATATGTATATATACACACACCACATCTTCCTTAGGTTATCAACAGACACTTAGGTTATTTCTAGACCTCGGCTATTGTGAATAATGCTGCTATGAACATGGGAGTGCAGGTATCTCTTTGAGATAGTGATTTGGCTTCCTTTGGATATATCCCTGCAAGTAGGATCGCTGGATCATATCTATTTGTGCTTCTGACACTCAAATACAGACAACACTGGCTTTATTAACAATAATAGCAGCAGCAGGTACGATTTATCGTGTATTTGTTGTATGTCAGGCACTATGCTACATTCTTCATAGACATTACTTCATTTCTCCTAAAAATAACCTCACACCGTATGGTCATTAACATTTTATAGACAAAGAAACCATGCTAGATCATACGCTCCCAGAGGGCAGGGATATTCGCGTTGCTCATTGACGTATTCCAAGTGCTGAGAAGAGCACATAATAGGTGCTCAAGAAACACTGTTGACTGCACGAGGCTCTGAGAGCATAAGCAGCTTCTCCAGGGCCACAGGGAGCACTGCTGGGATTCACACCAGGATGCCTGGGATACACGGCGTCCTGTTTCCCGGCCCCTCTGCTATGCATGCTCTCTTACCAGGGACGGATGAACCTAGCCAGCTCTGGCCACTCACCTGACTCCAGCTCCCTGCAAACCACTCCACCTTGCCCGTGCAGGGCCCATTGTCACATGGGGTGGCCTCTGCGGGTCGGTTGTTCCCACAGCCCTCCAGGGGCAGGCTGCTGACGTGGTTGGTCATGCACACCACTGAGCGTGTCCGCACTCCAGCCCCACACTCTGCTGAGCACTGCAAGACAGGAGATGGGCATGTTAGAGGGCAGGCTCCCTGCAGGCTCTGAGGCCACTTTCTAATGATGTGAAGGACTGAACATCTCGTTTCCCCACCAACTCTTTCCCCTAGAGTCTCTGGCCACTTTTCACGCCCAGCCTACTCCATTATGGGACGTCAGCATGGCAAACCCCATCTTAGCTTTTCTAGGACAGTGTTCATTCCAAATATCCTGTCCCAGTGCTGCGATTGATATGCTTACACTTGTCAGACAACCTGCTTTGACTTTTGCTTTTGAAAACAGATCCAGCAGGGGAAGAGTGATAGCATAAACACTTGGGCATAGGTCGACTTGCTGGTAGCTGAGTCTGGGCTGTTCTGGGGAAACTGAGGAAGTGAAGCCTGTCACCTCAACCCTGCTGCCTGATAGTAAGGCAGGGGTCCCAGTCCTTGAAGGCACAGGGGTGACAGCATTAGCAGACAGCTTCCTATAGATGGAGAGCTTGGCCTGGGAACCAGACACACTGGTGTTAACATACCTACTAGCCTGGTGGCCTGGGGCAAGGAAGCCAGCCCCTTTCACCTCTGGCATGCTCATCTGGATAGCATATTCCTGGCAGGATTACAGGTAATGAATAATGTGCTCTGCATACAGAAGGTGCTCAATAAATGGTATGGGAGATTGAGATAGTCAAGTTCTGTATCCCCACTCTAAGATAAAGAAACGGAGGTAAGGTCTTCACTTAAAGCCACGGAACCGCCAGTGATTTCTGTCCTACAAGCACACTCTGTCCTCATCTAGGGCCTACTGAACACATTCCTGAGTCATACCCCAAAGCTTGAAGAGCATTTTCCATCTGTCTTGAAATGCCTTGGAATGCTGCCTTATTTTGCTTCTCATCCTATCTGTTCAGACCTTTCTGGACCTCTTTGAGTGCTCCCCAGATACCTCATGTTCACCATGTAAAATAATGGAGCACCTCCCTCACCACCATCCCCATTGCTACTCTTGGTTTTCCAATCTGTGCTCAAATTTCTACCAGGATTCAAGAGTTGACCATTCTTTTGAGTTCTTGCTTCTGCCATCAAGCCAAACTTCAGATCTCACAGATTCTGGTTTCACATTTTTCCTGTCTTGTTTCTTTCTGCCCATGGTTCCCAGCATTGATGTTCTTCCCCTGCGACTGTGGTCACAGTTTGTTGCTCAGTGTCACCACCTTTTCTAATTTGCTGAGCTTCCAGGTGCTGGGAGTGCCATGGTGAAAATCCCTCTGATGCCGTCCCAGTCCAACACGGACCTCCCCACCTGGCATTCAAGCTCTCCTATAAGACGACCTGAGTCAGCCTCAGTCTTCTAGGCTAACTTCCCATTATTCTCTCCCACACAGCTCATGCTGGACAGAGCCTGGGTCCTCCATTTCCCGATTGCATGAAGTGCTCACCGTGCCTTATCCATGCTGTTCCTTCTGTCTGCTAGAGAGCTCTTCCCCTTCATCAGGACACATTGAAATCCATTAAGGCTCAGCTCAAAGGCCAGCTCCTCTGTGAAAACTCCCTTGACTGCCTGATTCAGTATACTCTTTCCAGCCTCAGAATTCTCAAGACACTGTGCATCCTATTATCCTCCTTTGTACTACAGTTACTTATGTCTTACTTTATTTTTTCCTTTATAGAGGTAGGCTCAGTGAAAGCAGGGACTATTGAATCATCTCTACTTCCTTCTCAGGTCAGCACCTTACCCATGGGCAATGAATATCAGTTAAATAAATGAACACAGACTTGGGTCCTTCCTTGCTCCTTTCTCTTCTGTTACCAGTACGTTCCAACTCTGAAAGTGGCCGTTTAGAGGACAACCAAACCCCATTCTAAGCGTTTCTGCTGGGTATTCCCTTAAAAACAGAGTCACTGTTTTTTGTTTGTTTGTTTTACCAACATTACTATTTTAAAAAAATAAGCAAAAGCAATATAATTTAAATAAAATTCAAGAAAGGAAGAAAAAAAAAAAACACCCCTGGTTCCTTACCAAAATTTCCATTTTCATTTTTGTATATTGCTATCTAGTCTTATAAAATCACAGCCTGGATGAATAAGCAAACATTTACAGGACCACTGCTCGGTTGGGCCTGACTCCTCAGGGAGAAAACTCTCTGAAGCAAAGAGCCTGAAGAGGATTAGAACATGCCACCCCAAAATATGCTGCTTTGACATATTTTGAACTGAAGGTGATTGAGAAACTTCAGATCCAGGAAGGGCTCTCTGCCCTCCCAATCCTGCCTAAAAGCAGATCATAAATTTTCACGTAGTATCAGGAAGAAGAGAACATTTTTATAATTGGTGTTGGGAGCTGATGCCAAGATGAGTCTAAACAAACAAACTTTACCAAAATAACCCTTATCTTCCATTAGTATCCCCCATATATTTATCAGTCACTTTCCTACCTTTTATTGCCCCTAGAAGCCCCAGCCCCTTTCCTCTGTCTAGTCATTTCTTCGAAATTTATCACTCTTTGTTAAAATGGTATAGAAGCGTTCAAGCCTAACTGCTTCTTTGGGATTTTCATTTCTTTCCTATGAGGCTCCCTGTGCCATGTAGAAAAATGAACATCAAATAAAATGTGTCAGCTTTTCTCCTGTTAATCTGGCTTTTGTCAGTTTAATTTGCAGGCTTCTATTGCAGAACCTAAGAGGATGGAGGAAAAGGTTTTTTTCCTCCCCTACAGGCTCACAAACACTTTGCATGACTTACACTCTATTTGCATTGTTATTAGGAATTTGAGCCAATGAGTCAGTCCTTTTTACAACAACAACAACAACAACAACAACAACAAAATCCTTTGTTACAATAATTGGAATGTTCTAGGCTAAAGGGTTTTTTGTTTCAGCCGTATATTATCTGGTCTCTTTCCTAGCTTTAAACACTTGAGATATTTAAATCCTCCTGAAAAATACAAGGCAAATTAAGTTATCTTCTTATTTCAAACCATAAGAATATTTCTTTCCATGTAGTTTCCATTTGACTAACTTAACTTCTGCTTTCCAAACCAAATAATGTCTTCACATCTGGGAAAATTTCCCCATATCCCCATGTGCTTCATATAAAAGAAGAAATGTTAAGGACCAAGCCAAGTGCTCAATGAGAGAACACTATAGGGATGAACCCTACAGAGGGACTTCTCTTTATTACACCGGCTCTGACTCAAGAAGCCTCTCAGCAGGAATGAGGGGAACGATGGGGCCCTACCAGGCAGCAGGGACTACCCTGCAAAACCAGGCACTGAAACACCCCTCACTATCCTTGAAGGATGTCCCAGAAAGAAGGACCAAATCCACCTGGTAGTCAGAAAAGGACCTGACTCCCAGCTGAACTCCTGGGCTGACAAAACACAGAAACACATAAAATTTCTAGGCAACCGTGTGGTGAGGATTGTCTTCTCACTCCAGCAACAGCTGAATGCTAAATTTGGCCCAATCAGCCCTTGAGGGACTGACTACAGGCTTCTAATGGCTATTCCTGAATTTCAGGTTCATGTATCATCTTCCATAATTAAGTAACACAAAGCTCAATGTCTTATTTCTTCTCTTGGAAAACATCCTTAGACATTAGGTGTTACAAGATTGAGGCTGGGGGCGCCTGGGTGGCTCAGTTGGTTAAGCGACTGCCTTCGGCTCAGGTCATGATCCTGGAATCCCAGGATTGAGTCCCACATCTGGGCTCCCTGCTCAGCGGGGAGTCTGCTTCTCCCTCTGACCCTCTTCCCTCTTGTGCTCTCTATCTCTCATTCTCTCTCTTTCAAATAAATAAATAAAATCTTTAAAAAAAAAAAAAAGATTGAGGCTGGTGGACTTTCTAAAAGTTTTCTTCTTCTTTTTCTGTTGTGACTAAATATTGCACATGTGTTTAAACCTGTCATTGATTTATAGAACTAAAAAGTCTATGATGCCTATGTCTGATAAGACCCGCCCTCAGTTAAAGGTGGCTGCAAGGACATGTTTACGATGAGTCACTGAGTCAGAAAAACTACATAGCCCTGGAAGTTTAAGAGAAGATCCAGGTGTGAGTTTACAAGTTCAATTCAATTAGGTAGAGATTAATTAATTTTATTTTATTTATTTATTTTTTAAAGATTTTTATTTATTTCACAGAGACAGTGAGAGAGGGAACACAAGCAGGGGAGTGGGAGAGGGAGAAGCAGGCTTCCCGCTGAGCAGGGAGCCCGATGCGGGGCTCGATCCCAGGACCCTGGGATCATGACCTGAGCCGAAGGCAGACGCTTAACGACTGAGTCACCCAGGCACACCGAATTAATTTTATTTTAAATTAATAGTTAAATTAAATAATTAAAGAAATAGGATGTATTCTGGATCCTTAAGTGTTTGTGCACTTCAGTCACATTTTCTTTAATCTCTCCCCCTTGAGCTCATTACATGGAAGCTGTATCTCATTCATGCCTGGCATTGTTAGGTGCTCAATACATGTTTATTGCAGTTGCAAAAAAAAAAAAAAAAATGGCATAGCTCAGGCTAAAGCTTAACAGGGCTGATTTCTATACAAAGCCACTACTCGCGTGTGAAAGACTGCCACCAGCTGGTCATTCCTGGGGCTAAGTGGTGACTCCAAGGCCCACCCCACGATCTCATCATCTAGGTCATGGTTTCAAATATGTTATCCCCTCATGCTCATTCAGCTTTGTTGCCAATGAGGAAACTGAGGGTCAGAGAGCCACTTGCTCGAGGTGTAATAAGAAATAAGTCCCGGGAAAAGTGCTACCAAAGCCTCCTTCCCACTCATCTACTCCAGCCATGAACATTCTGGAATAATGTTACGTTCTGGGGGCTGATAAAGCAAAATTACCTACTTGTTTATATCCGAGCACTAACTTGACATCTTTCTAAAACATCTTTCCAAAAAAGAACAAAGAAGTTCTCTAAACAGAAGAATACAGTGCTTATCTTTCCTCTATTTAGAATTTTAAGACAAGGGTTAGATCCAGCAAGTACTTATGTTAAAATGCAAAGCAAATTTACAGTAAAGGGAAATTTACAAGTGTTTGTTGGAGGGGGAATAAAGAGTAAGGGTGGATTCAGTTAGAGTTGGCAAACAATAGCTTAGTCTGATTAAAATTCATGCTTTACAGGTTTTAAATGCCATTAACGTGTTTATAATTAATACATATGTGAAAAAGGAAGGTTACTAAATTATACATATGTAGTATTATGATCTGTATCCTTCAAATATGTGTGAGTACAAAAAAGCTATGTATGTTAAGTATGTATGAGTAGAAAAAAGCTTGACAATATAGCTTAAAAATCTTAAAATATTATCTGCTAGTAAAGAGATTATAGGTATGCTTTTCTGATTTTTTTATAATACTATATGTTACTTTATGACCAGAAAAGGTGAACATTATTTTTTTATCCATTAACTACATTAGTTCTTTAATTGGAAGTGAAAAATTCTTTGAGAGATGTTTGCAAACACACATTCAAAAAGTAGAAAATGGCATTTTTACTATTTTGTTAAGTAGAGATAAGTTATTAAGTGTGTAGTCATATAAGAACTATGATTAAATCTTTTAAATATTTCAGATGCATTATAAACTCAGCTGTCTTGCATTGTCTTATCTTTGCATATAGCCTTTTATTAATTACACTGTGTTATATAAATAAATGTTCTCTATAGTTTAGAATAATGATTGATGAAGATGAGGAAGCATTTACTGAGAAAATAATTTCAGCTGTTTTAACCTTTACACGAGCATTCTAAAACTTTGATTTCCTCTAGTGAATGTGAACCTTAAGAAAAATTTCCAAACTTCAGTCTACTCGGACATGCGAGTCATTGAACATTCATGGAAGAAATTATTATCTTAAGCTCTGCATATTCTTTATGAGATTTCATATAAACATTAAGGATTAAAAGGGTTTAAGTGCTCTAGACTTCAAACGATCTTGTTCCTTTTGTTTCATGACTTAAACTGGTATTATAAGTTCTCTGTTTGCATCACAAACTTTTATATTATAGGACACAGACATTTTAGCTTAAGGTCTTATGTATAGTTGACAAAAATAATTTTTGTCCAAAATTATTTTAGAGTCTTCCCAAGAGGAAAATGAAAGCCCGGCATCATTCTTTTTATACATTTGTTTGCACACTAACTTCACCGAATTTACCGCGAACACAAATGAGTTTTGGGATGGCTAGAAATCCAGAAACACAAAAGAATTAGTTGAAGGAACTAGGAATTTTTAGGAGAAGAGGTGGAAGAGGTCTCCAAATATCTGTAGGGCTGCAGTGTAAGGAGGAACACTCATGTTCTACAGGACAGGAGCGGGAGTTAGCAAGACACATTTTGGCCCGATGCCAAAGGAACCCTCTGGGCGACTACCTGGACCCGCCATGAATTTCTGGGAAGGAGTTAGACTCAGGGACACTGCAGAGGGCTCCTCATGCTGGCAGGGAGGCTGAGCACAGTGGCTTCTGGGGGGCCTCCCAGGGCTGCTTGGGCGCTGCCAGGAGCTGAGGTATGAGCTGGGAGGCTTGGAAGGAGGGAGAGGGGATGTGCAGACAGAACAGGGGTGGGCCCTGCTGGACTCAGCCTCAGGGGCCCAAGTCTGAGTCCATGGACACCTTTCGATGGGCACCTACTCTCCATTTGTTTCCTTTGGGTCAATGCCTTCTTGAGGACTAATTCGGTACCTGTGACAGCCCACTCTGGGCCAGAGGCACAGTTAGCTGCTTGTCCTAAGAGTTCAGCGTTTGCACACGGGCTCTCTATCTGGGGACCATCTTGGGGCTAAAGGGGAGTGGCTGTAAGCCACGAGGTGTCAGTAATCCACAGCAGGTCAGTCACTCGATGAGAATCTCCAGGATGATCCCTGCATGTGAGGTGAAGCCTGCGTTGGCAGGTCTGTTCCTCAACAACTCCCCCCACCAAGGTGCAGTGTTACTGTGATGACGGGGACAAAATTAAGGGGCATCTCAGCACCAGATGGAGTGGAAAACCCTATGAATGCTTGCAGGGTGATGCTCAGAATACTGGACAATGCTCACCAGTCAGGAGGGATGCTGGCCCAGGAATCCACCCATGTGGCGGGATGGCGACGCATGAAGGTTTCCTCGTCTGAACTTGAGATGTCGCCCTGTTGTTGTTCACATGATCCCACGGGGAGAGGAGGCTCCCGCGCTCAGTCTTTCCTAAGGCTCTAGGAACTTGCCTGGTCCCCTCTTACTCTTGGCCCACCGGCCTCAGTGCCCCCCGGGAGCCCGTTAGGAAGGCAGATTCCCAGGCCCACCTCCCCGCTCGGACTCAGCCCCGGCACCGTGCGGGGATTCCCAGGTGACCTGTAGGCACACTGAAGTTTGTCAGCATGGTGAGGAATTCTGATAAGGGAAACGGTGGCCACCTGGCCCAGCCAAGAGGAAGGCACTAAGGACAGAGACAGCCAGTCCTGGCTCCATCCCAATTCAACTTGCAAGGGCTCTAGACGATCCAGAAACCCAGAAACTGTTGGGGTGGGGCCAGCCCACTGCCCTGGGAGGAATCCCCTGATGGCCTCTCCCACTGCCAGCCCGTTAGTCAGGGGCTTCCTCAAGAAAAGGAAGGCAAAGTTCACTCTCTGCTTCCCTCTCTCTCTTCCCCTCCCCAAGGTACACTCTGTAATTTTGCTTAATGCTTTTCCCTAAACCTTTTTTTTTTATTGTGGTAAAATACACATAACATAAAATTTACCATTTTAATCATTTTCAGTGTACATTTCAGTGGTATTAATCACATCTACACTGTTGTGTAACCATCACCAGACCCAACTCCAGAATCCCTATAAATCCTATTTTTGTCATTTTTTTTTTTTTTTTTTTTTAGGGAGAGCACGCACATGCATGCATATGAGCGAGGAGTGGGAGGGGCAGAGGAGGAGGGAGAGAGAGAGAATCTTAAGCAGGCTCCACGCCCAGTGGAGCCCTGCATGGAGCTAGATCTCACGACCCTGAAATCATGACCTGAGCCGAAATCAAGAGTCGGATGCTTAACCGACCGAGCCACCCAGGCGCCCCTAGTTTTGTCTTTAATAGAGGAACTCTATCTCTTGCTGCTTTCCCTTGCACATAGGTAACTGACGGTTAACTATACATGCCTCAGACTTCATCTTTACATCTGACACCAGGGACCCCAAGGGAGGCCAGGCTACTGGGGAGGGGAAGAGTCTGTGAACTGTGTTGAGTTAGTAAGAAGGAGGGAAGGGGCCTGCCGTCTGTTGAGTGCATGTATATGCCAGACACTCACATACCATATGAGAGCTGCAATGTAATTCTTCCCCTTCTTCAGTATTTCATGATTTAATGTTCATGTGCAGTGCGAAGGAGAACGAATTCTCTCACATGCACTGCTCACCCTTGCAGCCCCTCGGTCTTTGTATGAAGATAGAAAGCCTTTTCCCCAAAGTCAGAAGTTACCCTTGGGATTCTCAGCTAGTGATTCCTCTTCGTGGTGTTGGGGTGCCTGTCATGTACAGCTCCTGCCCACTGGCCCAGCAGCCCTTGGTCCCGGCTGTAGGAAACCCACTCTGCCTGCCATCAGCTCACCCTTTCACTCCACTCGGTGAGGAACCAGCTCTTGGCACAGGGCCCCATGTCGCAGTTCTCAATGTCGTTCGGCCGGAGCTTCATGTTGCATTCCTCATCGTCGACCACATCCCCGATGTTGCTCACACACTTCACGTCTCGGGTCCTCTGTCCCACCCCGCAGGGCACTGAGCACTAAAACAGCAGGAATAAGTCAGTGGGATGGGCAGCGTTACCTTTGGGGGCCTCTCCAGCTCGGGTGCCCTCATCCTTGTCACCTGCCACCCGAGCGGACGACTGTGGTGAGACCCCCTGGGTGGCTCTGAGTTCCCAGCCCTGAAAACCTCACCACCTTTTCTCTAAGACCTTCTTTGATGTCCTGCCCACTTTGTGGCTCTGGGCCTCCGTTCTGTCATCTGTGAAACAGGGGTGCGAGACTGGAAGGAGCTGATTCTCATGTCACACGAGAGAGATCACCTGTATGCGCGTGACTGCCACGGGCTCACCCTACAAGTCAGCTGTGGGCGACTGCTGCACACTACCCTTAACTCTCAAGTGCTATCGGTAACGTGCTTTGGTTTGCAAAACAGTCCTTCCTCTGCGCCCCCCGCCCGCCCCGGGAAGGGTTCCCTTTAGGAGACCTCAGGGCTGTCCTGAGGTCTTTGGTGGCGGTGGGGGCGGGGGATGGCAGGGAGTCTGGGAGGGGCAGCTCTAGAGCAGGCGGCCTGCCCCGCGTACCGAGGTCCAGTCCGTCCGGATCTGCCACTCGCTGCAGATCTTGAGCTGGCAGGTGCTGGTGGTCTCGGGCTTCTCCAGGTGTTGGCAGCGGTAGGGCTGCACCGTCAGGCTGCGGTTGGCGTACACCTGGCGGCACAGGACCTGGCGATGCTGCATGCCCAGGCCGCAGGTTTTGCTGCACTCGGACCACTCTCCGATGTCCCAGCTAGCTCAGGAACGAGAGAGCGCGAGAGGGACAGATCACCTTCAGCCAGCGGAAGAGAGCACTGCCCCGAAAGCCAGCTCGCACAGAACCATCAGCATCGTTACGGGTGGTCCTCACCCAAGAGCGCGGCTCAACGCCTGCCTAAGGGCCATCGGACTCCGTGAAGCAATGTAACTCTGTCAACAAGCTCTTTACCAGTGATGACGGCCCAGTTTGAGAAAATTAAAGAAAACCAAGAAGGTGCAAAGGATTTTTATCTAAAAAATGCCCCAAACTCCAAACGTTAGTTTTATCATCACCCTGTAGAACATTAACCCGCGTTGGATCTCCAGCATTCTTTATTGCTCATAAGCTACTTACTCATCAGTTTCATGATCTTCCCCTGTCATCCTGCTTTGTCACTTAGTTAAATAAGACATCAGCACACGGCTCAATACATAGAAGGATGTTTCTATTACTTTGAAAATTATGTTGGGACCCTCTTTGGGGGCTCTTTCTCCCTGTTCTTCTGGAAGTGTCCTCTTTATCATCCAGTAACCCACCCAAGACCTCTCCTGAGACACTCTTCCCGACTTTTCTTTGCCCATGTACCTGTGACTCTCCTCATTCCCTCTGTTCACAGCTCACCTACAGCACCGACCACGCTGGACTGTAATTCCCAGCTTCCCTCTTTGCTTTCCTCACCAGGCTAACACGTAACTGCTCCAAGTTACCAAAGGCGTGTGCTCACTGTTAAAGGCTACAAGCTTCTGCGTTCATCCCCAGAGACAGGTGTGCTTGCTGAACAGACTGCAGTTTATGCACAGCCTGAGTCTCGTGTGTCTAAATGAGATGTAGACAGATTTTATGTCTGCTAATAAGGTCCTATGCTCAAGCACCCAGAAGTGACCCCATAACAGGCAACCTCCACAGAGAGGCCATCTTACAAGGCTGGGCAAGGGAACAGGTTGCAGGGCTCCTCCTCGGGGGTGGGCTTCATACTGGAGTCGCAGTAGCTCTCGGGCACCTCCTCGTGGGTGTTTCGGTGCACACAGCGAAAAATAGGGAACTGCGATCCTGCAAGGACAAGGAGAACTTCTCAAGGACAGCCCCACACACTTGAATGTTGGGCTCTGGGTGCAGGTGCACAAAGATCCGGGTACTGATGAAGAGAGGCCGCAGGAACAGAGAAATGCACACACACACACACACACACACACTCCTCCTTCATTCATGTGTTTACAAACACCTCCCACACAGGGGCTGTGATAGGCACTGTGGACACTGGGGTTGCAAACCGCGGACACGGTTGGAAAGTGCTAAAGGCAGATACAAACAATTTTCATAACAGTTCAAAATATCACGAGGCAGGAGAGTAATTATAACATGAGCACAAGTAATAAATGCCTGGAAGTTTTCTGGAGACATCACAGAGAAAGGGTCCTAGAGGGTCCAGCTGGATCCTACAGAAGGGTGGGGTTTGGGTAGCTGTGGGCATGTGTGTCTTGGAGGGAGGGGGCTGTCCAGGCAGCTGAACAGGAACAAAAGTGCCCGACACACTGGCTTGCATGTGCCTGGAATGTGTGAGAGGCAAGTTGAAGCAGAGAAGTAGAAGATTCAGGACCGGCTTAGAAGAACAGCAAGCTTCGCCCTACTCTGTAAAGCATTTTACCCATTCCCCTAGTAAAGTACTGATCCAATGGTATTTTTAGTTATTTGAGTAGATGTCTGCTTCCCATGAGACAGAGAGCTTCTCAGGACAGAACTAATTCTTGTTCATCCCTGTAATCACAGTACCTAACAGAGCAACAGCCGCTCAATAAACATGCTGAATGGATATTTATCAGAAGTCTCATATTTGTTTTTATTACTTTGTTAAAAAAAATCATACTGACTGCCTCAGCGTTGTTGTTGTTGTTTTGTTTTAAATACGCAGCTGAGTTTCACTGGCTTAATATGGATAAATGTTTTTTGGAGAAAAAAGTCAGAATCCGTTAAATGGAAAAAAAAAAAAAGCCGACAATTCTGCCGGCCTCTCTCTGCTACCCCCTGGTGGCAGCTCGGGAGTATTGCTAAGGGATGTGTACAAAGTGAGAAAGGTAACCAGGAACACGCCATGCAACTGTTTGAAAAATAAGATGTTTCTTCACAAATAACTGTCTGTCCCCCTGCGCCGATCCCCAGTCTAGGCCACTACCCAATTCCTGCCGGGCAGAACATGATCACTCATCCTACAGTTCTGTCTTAGCTCTGTTGCTAACTGGCCAGGCATTTGGAGTTTCTGAACTTCCAACTTACTACAATTTAATTGTAACTGGAGGGATAACTCTTCACAGAAACGTTTCCCTATTTCATCAGCCATGAAGGGTGTGTCAGTGCTTGTTGACGCTGATCTTGTGTGACCTCCGAGCCAGAGGGTGGTTCTTGTAAGAAACCTTGACAGATTGGAAGACAGTACTGAATCTGAAATGATCATTTGTTTAAAAACCACTCTGGCAGTAAAAATTCATAATGTAGCTATAACTTGGAGACCATTATTTAAAAATAATGTTCCAGGGGCGCCTGGGTGGCTCAGTTGGTTAAGCATCTGCCTTCAGCTCAGGGTCCTGGGATCGAGCCCCACTTCTGGCTCCCTGCTCGGCGGGAAGCCTGCTTCTCTCTCTCCCACTCCCCCTGCTTGTGTTCCCTCTCTTGCTGTCTCTCTCTCTCTGTCAAATAAATAAATAAAATCTTTAAAAAAATAAAAATAATGTTCCAGTGAAGTATAATTATTAGCGGAGTAAAAAGCGGTACTGACTATAAAACTAATAAGCAAAAACTTTTGTGGAATGAAATTTTGTCCAGTGACATATCTGCTTCCATGAAGAAGAGATTTTTTTAAATTAAATTCCACAAATATTAAGCACATTGTGCTCACTTACAAAGATGAATAAGATTCTGTTCACGCCTTTCAGGATACCCATGTGGGACCCAGCTATTAAGGGATTAAGTAAAAATCTTATTATTTATCCCTTCAGACCATGTGGGTGTAACTTTTCTGCTGGCAAGTCTGTGGACTGAAAAGCAAAAGTTACTACTCCAACCACATGGCACTCAGGGGCAATTTAATATCTTTAGCTAAAAGGATACAGGCTACCATAGGAATGCTCTGTGCCTTGGAGGGAGGGGTCCTGCCCAGGGCTGTTTGCACGTGGCCACGGACCTTCCTCACCCTCTTAGTGCCTTTACACTACACTTACTCATGGTCCACCTCCAGAGTTCAGCCAAGGACGTAAATCCAGAGGCTCACTCTCTGATGGTGAGAACTATACTTCTTGACTCGAATGACCACAGCGGTTTCTTTCTTTGGGTCAGTTTTGATTTCTGCAGAGAATGGGATGATGAGGTCAGGTGCTGGCTGGGCTTCAGGCAGCAGGGAGAATCTGGGATCATTTCAGTTGGGTTTTATGTTGTGCGTGTTGATCAGTACAGAGGTATATTATCCTGGAGGAGGGAACCATACTGCAGGTAATCTGCAGATATTAAAGCAGGCAAGTCAGTGAGTTCAGGGGACAGTGTGGAGAGGCTGGTGCGGCATTGGGGAGGAGAGAGGGACAAAATACGGAACAAGAAAACAATGAAATCATCTGAGGCTTGGAACTCCAGGAATCAACTGAGCCAAGCCAAAAGTTTGACCAGACAGAAGTCTGGGCAACGGCCAGGTGGAGTATGAGCCACTCTGGGCTGTCGGTGGCAAGACCCCTCTCTGTGACAGTGCTACCGTGAGGGGTGGTTTCCCTTGAGAGGCATGGAGACACATGGTCTGTTGAGTTCCACCAGAAAGGACTGGAGAAGATTTGTGTGGGGACGAATGGTGAGGTCACAGGGAGCATGGATGTGGGTTGCATCTCTAAGAGCAAGACGGTACCAGTAGGCTCAGAAGGGCGTGGTCCTGGTACATTTGTCACTGCTGCTGAGCTAAACATGGATGCATCCACATGGCCTCATGTGCCCTGCAATCCAGCCAGCGCTGCTGGGAACAAACCTCACAGGGAGCAAAGGAGGGGCATCCAGGGGCTGCTGCCATTTGTCCAGCGGAAGAGCAAGGGGCTAAGAGTACAAGAGAAGGGAGGGCTGGGGGAGAAAACAGCTCTGCTCTTGTTTTATTTCCAAGGAACCTCTTCTGCAGCTCTTGGACTGGAGAAACCGTGCTGTTTCTCAAGGTAAAGAAGAGGATGCACATGTCATCACAAGCATCCAAGTGGCAGATGCTGTGTGTGTGTGTGTGTGTGTGTGTGTCCACAAGGCAAAGCAGAAAGACTATATTAAGAACGTTAAACAAAATCATATGGAAATCTAGAGAAAAAGATTCTTCAGTTGTGAGTACATAAATCCACATTCTTTAAGCTACAATAGAACACAGTAAGGCAGTAACAGTAACAGCCTTGCCTATCCAGGATGCAATGATGTAAAAACTACCCTTACACCTTTTCTAATAGCTGGATATGACCCATTTGACAATATATTCATCAATTGGAGAAGCACTTGAGGAGCGTCTCCTTGTGTGCTGGCTACCATCCCAGGAGCAGGCGATGCAAAGTGTGCATGCGCGGAGACAGCCAGGCCAGGCAGAGCTGGGACAAGAATGTGTCCTGAGTTGCGGTGGGGTCCCCTAGGATAAGTGCCCACCTGTGCCTTGCAGAACCAGGAAGGGCTTCACAGAGGAGGTGCATCTGAGCTAGATCGGGGAGTGTAAGTGGTTTGCTGGCTCCCTACCAGAGGATATAGTAAGGGATGCAGGTGTTTTAGCTCCGTGTGGATCACACAGACTGTGGTTGGCTGGGGGAAAGATAACCAGAATTTTTGGAAATGGGGTCCCTCCATCATGCCTTGAATGACCCGTTGAATGAACACCAGGGTATGTGGCATCAATTCGGTGAATGCAGGGCTGTGTGAGCAGCATGAAGGGTGAGCAGGCAATGGCACATGCTTTCGTCCTTATTCTATTAAAGTCCATGAGGCGATGCCCGATGGTCTCTGGACACGGCGACATCTCACGCTACTCAAAAGACTGGGCCAGGCGATCTTTACGGACAGGAAAGGGGAGAGAATCTTCTACACATCTGCCATCCTTGATATAAAACCACAGGATGGCAATTTTTCTTCTTTTTATGACTTTCCCTTGTGGGTACCTAGCACAAATGTGTCTGGTTCCTCCGGTGGGCATTGCACCACTAAGTCCATGGTGGAAACTTCAGTAATCACACATTTGGACCCCAGGTTCCTAGGTCAACTGCATTTCATCCTGCTCACCTCTACAGTTCCAGGGATGGACCCTGACTGAAATGATTTTGGCCTTCCTGTGTAATTAGCTTTCTGCCTCTGTTCAGACTCATTCTATGGGCATATCACTTTCCCTCCGAAAGCTTAAAAAAGAGGTTAGGGCAATGAATCTTCAGTCCACATTCTTTGCACATGTATTAAGCAAAAGCCCACCAATATCTGCAGTGTCAGCTCCAGAAATCAGTGCTCCAGTTATCAGTCATCATGGAACTGGCTGGGGGTCCAGGCAGGAGACGCTCCAGCCCCCACGAAGAACCAAACACCTCAATTCGGTTCTCAAAAGCCACCACCAAGCTGATGCTCTTGGGAAAAAGATAAAGGCTTTACAGGTGGTTGTGAAAATTTCCTGGGTGCAAAATATGTCAGACTTCCTGAATTTTGTACCCTTGGGTACATGCCTCTTGAAGAAAAGGAAAAAAAATCCCCAAACCACTTTTCTTAGTGTATCGGTTTCCAAGCAACAGGAACTTCTTGGGATAAAGCCTTCCCATTTCTGTGGCCACCTCCCCTCCAAGGACAGCGGTTTTAGGGTCACAAATAGGACTTCCTTACAAACAGGAGGCCATTACCACGCAGACAGTACCCTTGCCTCATAGTTCCTAGTGGTCACAGACAGATCCTTGCACTGAGGAGCTAGGCCACCTTGAAATTGAGAAACAGCCTCAATTTCCAACCCAGGTGCCAGACATTCAATAAGGGGCTTCTGGACACATTCCACGCCTACCTTAACTTTGGAGTTTTCAAGGAAATAGGCCCCCAGATCCACCCCACAGTTCAGACTGATATTGATATTGACCACTTTGCCCACAGCCTCCTTTGCTTTGAGCCTATCAAAACTCGCTTTCTTTAAATGTCACCTGAACTCCATCTGCCCTTCTCCCAAATCCTGTAACTCTTTCCTTTTGTTTGGAGAGACACCGTTTGTTCCTTCTGCTGTCTCTGGCACGTGGTCTCCCTTCCTGCAAGGAGTCCATGGAGCTGGTGTGGCTGGGCTGCAGGCTTGCTCCCGGGGCCGTAGCTGATGGGGTTAGGACAATGGGACAATACATGGTGAAGATTTTACAGAGAGAACCGTGGGGAGCTGTGAGCGTTGGTGAGTGTAAGAGCCGGCTTACACCTCAAGCCCCGTGAGTGTGCTTTTTTTCTGGAATCTTAGATTTGAGAGTGAGTTTTACCTGGTATTTGTGTACATATACCTCAACTTCTCGATCTTAAACTCAGTGAACACATTCTGTGGTTATTCATGAGCTCGTCGTGCAGGAGAGGGTTAACTCAGCAGGTCTGGGGTGCTCAAACCCTGCACACTCCAAAGAAAGTCCTGTCTTCATGACTGGCCCTGGAGCAGGGCTGGAGACAACCTTTGAGCCCGTGGGATATTCTGCTGATAGGAGTGTTTTTCCACACTGTATCGGTTTGACAAGATAGTTTACGCCAACAATGCGATTTGGCTGAATGCCTGTATTTGTGGGTCTGTGGTCTTGGCCATGTTCTGTCTATCAGTCTGACTTCTGGGTGCTAAAGGCTGAGTAGCTAATGTCAGTCATGTGGGGGCTCCATGCCTATGTGACTGAGCCATAGTAAGCCCCCTGGACACAAAACCTCCATTATCTAGTTGGCAATAGTTGGTCTTGCTGTCACCCATCACTGCTGGGAGAATTCAGTGCATCCGGGTGCAACTCTCTTGGGATGGGACACCCGGAAGCTGGCCCCCGGTTTCTCCTGGACTTTGCCCCATGTGCGTTTTCCCCTGATGATACCCACCTGTATCCTTTCACCGTAATAAGTTGTGACCACGAGCATAGCTGCTCTTCTGAGTCTTGTGTGTCCTTCTTGTGGCTCATCAAGCTTGAGGGTGGTCTTGGGGACCCTCCACCCAATGTCATTCCCATGAACCATCTCACAGTCAGGCTCAAGGAGGGGAGGCTGTGCCATGTCCCTCGAGCCCAGCCACCCAATCCTCGCCCGGGGGTTCTGCAGAGACCCTCCTCGCCCGCACTCGAGCTCACCTTTCCCACAACTTGTGGAGCATTCTGTGGTCCCCAGCTGCTTCCAGTTGTGGTCCCGGCTTCGCCGCGGGGGCTGTGGTACCGCCGGCACCACATTGTCTGGCCGATGGGAAGAAAATCCATCCGGATGCCTGACTGGGAAGGTCTGTGCCGATTCCGAGGTGAATACTTCGGGGGCCCCGCCGTGCACATCTTCCTTCTCCTCCGCTTCCTCCTTCTCTTCTCCCTCCTCCTGGCCCCTCCCGTGTGTCCCCAGCTGGCCGTTGAAGGGCTCCCCTAGGAGAGGCAGGTGCACACACAGAAGTAAGACCGGTCTGGACCCGGAGTCCTCCCGAGGACATCCCTTGGACATTAGAAACTACATAGCACGAGGTCATTTCCAATCCGCAGCACATGTGTTTTAAACATGCAGATACCAGTTTCCCTAATATTCAAAACATTGTTAAAAATGAATAAGAAAAAGATGAACGTCTCAGTAGGGAAAGCAGGCAAGGGCCAGGAAGTCACATAAAAAGAAATACTTTAAACAGCCCAAAGTCACACAAAAAGGCTCAACTTCACTCATAATGAAAGAACTACATGTGAAAACAAAAACAACCGCCACATCTTTATTAGCCTCACAATAAAGAGGAGGAACTTTGGAGACTCCTAAATCCCTAAACCCCTCATTGAAGATACAGGAAAACAGGGGAGGAGGAGCCTGCTGATAGACACAGAGTTTTGGAGGGCAATTTGGCCATATCTACCCAAGTTTGTTTTATTTATTTATTTATTTATTGAATTCTTATTTTATTCAAATTCAATTAATTAATATGTAGTGTATTATTAGTTTCGGAGGTAGAGGTCCGTGATTCATCAGGTGCATAGAACACCCGGTGCTCATTCCAGCACGTGCCCTCCTTAATACCCGCCACCCAGTTACCCCATCCCCTCCACCCACCTCCCCTCCAGCAACCCTCTACCCAAGTTTTAAATGCACATACCCCTCGGCCTAGGGATTCAGTTTCTAGGACATTTATCGTACAAATATTCCCATTCTTTTACACAAAGCTGTATGCACAAGCATGGTTCCTAAAGCATGTTTTGAAATAGCCAAATAGTAGAGTGAACTTAAATGTCCACCAGGGTACTGGTTAAAATACGCCATGCTACAACCACGAACGGATGCTATGTTATTTTTTTTCTTTTAAAGAATGAAGCAAAATGTATGTTGTGACACGGAGATATGACTGATGCACTGTTTGATGAAAGAAAAAAGCACGGCAGAATTCATTTTGTATATACATCCACACGTGTGTGGCAGGACCCCTTGCGAGACATTAAATTGGTGTTCAGCCCTTTGTGTCTGTCCCACGTCTCCCAGGCCAAGTGGCCAAGCCCTTAGGTGTTCTGGACTCGGATTTTTGCAGGGAAGTAAAAGCTGCTGGACGTCAACAGCTCTTCCTTCTCACAGTGAAAGCCTGAGTTCTCAATAAGGATAACAGGCCCAGATACTGGGGCCAGCCAATGGGAAGAGAAGGAGGAAGAAAGAGGAGGGAAAAGTGGAAAGCATTTTGAGAGAGAGAGATGTTTTCAAGGCAAGGAGAGGCCGAAGTCAGAAGGTCAGAGTTTCCTGAGCACCACAGATTTTACCTGTGCCAGGCAGGGATCTTTACTCATACTGGGGGTGTATGGGGGGAGCCTCTGTACTTACTGAGACCGAGTTTTCTACAAGTGTCAAGGAAATCTGAAGTTGAGGCAAGATCTAAGTTAGACTTCTGGAAAAGACTGGCATGAGATGTTCCCTGTACACTCAGACTGCAGACAAAGTTTCAAATTGCTTATAAGCATGTTTCTACATGCACAGGAAAGGGCTGGGTGGAACCCCTTCAAATCATGGAGAGATATTCCCTCTCGGAATGGGATTGGGGGATGAGGTTGAGACATATTTTTTTTTAAGTAGACTTTATTCTTTTTTTTTTTTTTTTTAGAGCGGTTTTAGGTTCACAGCTCAATTAAGTGGCAAGTACAGAGTTTCCATACCTCCTCTGGCCCCACATAATGCACTTACAGCCCCCATCAACATCCCGCACCAGAGTGGTACATCTCTTACCATCCGCGAACCTGCATGGACACATCATTATCACCCAAAGCCCATAGTTTTCATTAGAGCTCATTTTGGTGGTGTACATTCTATGGATCTTGACAAAAGTAGACTACCGTGTATCATCGGGAATAGTTTCACTGCCCTAAAAACCCTCTCTGTCTGCTTATTCACCCCTCACTCTCCCTTAGCCCCTGGCAACCACTGATCTGTTTACTGTCTCCAAAGTTGTGCCATTTCCACAATATCATATAGTTGGAATCATACAGTATGGAGACTTTTCAGATCGGCTTCTTTCACTTAATAATGCAGATTTAAGTTTCCTCCATGTCTTTCCAAGGCTAGGTAGCTCATTTCTTTTCGTGCTGCATAATATTCCACTAGCTGAATGTACCTCAATTTATCCATCCATTCACCGAATGGTGAATCTTGGTTGCTTCCAAGTTTGGACAATTATGGAGCACTTGCATCTTACTTTATATATTTTTATTTTGCTTGAATATTGTTCAAGCATATACTAGTTTGATACAAAACAAGGAGGCAAATTCCAGAGTTACTGTAGAATCCAGTTAAAACTTAGGACTTTCCCCACCTTGTAGCACTTACAACACTTCGTGGCTTAAAACATTAAATACAATTTAAATCAATAGAATCAAGACTAGGCATACTGATGTAAGTAAGACTAAAATATTACCAGACAAAAACATTTAAAAATCTTTTGTACACCTTGCATGCAGTGGGCACTACACTGGGATGGACACCTCATATTCAATCTCCTCCACGGCCTGACCCCTTCAAGAAAAACCTTCGAGTGAAGGGTTTTTCTCTTCGCTATTTTGTAGACTGGAAACGTGCTCAGAGAAGTTTCTGACTTGCCTGAGGGTGCACAGCAAGAAAGAGGCAGAGCTGGATTTGAGTTCATGGAGGGTGAAGCCTGAGTTCATGGAGGGTAAAGCTTACTACAGAATGCCCCTTCTCACTAACTTTTTACAACTGACTCCTCCTGGGCCCGCCCTGTCCCAGGTATAGCCAATCCCATGCTACCCATTAGCTGAGACCCATCAGGCTTGTTATCAATCATCATCACCCTGTAGGATTTCAAATAGTCTGTCCAATTGTCCTTATCCATCATCATCAGATTTCAGGAACCTCAATATTCTGCCATCTGAGCTTCGTTTCTCAGACTGTGGATCGTTCCTGCAAATGGCTCAAACATTGTGTTGGGCTGAGTGTGCTTGACTTGCAGTTTGGACAACATGCGCAGCCCACGTGCCCGGCGCACACCCTGCTGTCTCCGAGGAGCCAGATTGTTCTTCCCTGACCTGTGACAGTCAGATAACTCGGTTATCCATTTGGCGGGCCAGGCCTCACATCTGTGCCCTCACTGCCTGGGACAGGTGTCAGAGCAGGTAACCCTACGTGGTATAACAGACAGCAGACTGAGGTCACTGTCGGACCGGGGCAGTAAGTCCATCTCTCTGAGCTTCCATTTCCTACTTTTTAAAATGAGGCCCAAAACATCCCCATCCTCTGAGCACTGTCGTGACAATTTGATGAGTTCATCTATGTGAAAGGCTCAGCAATGTCTGGCACACGGCAAGGACTCCGTGCACGTGAGTAATATTATCATTGATGTTTATGTAGGCCTTCCTGTTCAAAAGATGGAAAAAACAAGTCTCCATTTGGGTGGTGGGTTCCATTATCATTTGGTAAAGAAATATCTGCAGAGCCGGAGGGCTGCCTGCCTGCTGTATCTATCAGCAGAGCCCATAGGAAAGAGGTAGATAATTAGGCATGAACTCATTATTCTTTCCTTACAAGTCAAAGTAGTGTCAGGAGAAGCAAAAGGGGACCAAGAGAAAAGGCATGAGGTGGACAGAATAATGGCCCTCTGAAGGTGTCTGCCTCCTAATCCCTGGAACTGTGAGTATGGTACCTTATATGGCAAAAGGGACTTTGCAGATGTGAAATTAAAGATTTGGGGTTGGAGAATGGTCCTGGATTGTCTGGCTGGGCCCAGAGATGTGATGATGGAAGAAGGGGGTCGGAACCCGAGATCTGAAAGTGCTACTCAGTTAGCACTGAAGATGCAAAAAGAGGCCAGGGAGCAAGGAGTGCAGGAGGCCTCTTGAAGTGAAAAGGGCAGGGTGACAGAACATTTTAGAGCCTCCAAGGGGAGCGTGGCCTGCCAACACCTTGATTCCAGCCCAGCAAAACCCACTTTGGATTTCCGGAACTCCTGAACTGTAGGATAGCAAACGTGTGTTGTTTTAAGCCACCATGTTTGAGGTAATTTGTTATATGGCAGGCAGCTCTAGGAAACTAATATCAGGTATCTTAAAATGTTGAACTGGAAAGACAGACTTAGGATGTTCACCTCATTTCTGAATCAAGTGAATGAGACCCTCTTATCAGCAAAGGCTCAGACAAATGGTGAAGCATCCTCTGATGTCAAGGCCGTGTCCGTGTGTTTTCTCTCTGTTGACTGAGAGACACAAGGGAGATGCACAAGAGACAGAGGGCTTTAAAAAGAAACGATGGGCGGGGTGGGGGGTGCTTGGCAGTAGAACAAGAGATTTTACCTGGTCTCCTGTGAGGAGGCACCTGTGGGCTGATGGCGTTGGTCCCCATGATGACGTACTCATAGTGGACTCCTGGGTTGGGCTGCTGGTGTATCATCTGACAAGACAGAGGTCAATGTCACTGCCCCGGGACACACTCACATCCCTTTCCTGCTGGCCCAAGGTCCCCCGGTATACATGGCATTATCTATAAATGATTCAGAGCTAATCATATGAGTGAACCTGTGACAGATTAAAGGAAAGCTCTTCCCAGATGGGTTTTTTGCTTTTGAAGAATGAAGGACTTAGAAGAACACTAGTCTGAAAGTCAAGATTTTATACATTCCAAATAGGAAGATGGGGACAATGGTAGCAGAGCCTTTCTGTTGGCTCTCAACCATCTCACACCATGGTTTAGATTGTGCTCAGTTCTCTCAAAATGGCCAAGCCATGTGTATGCGCCAGGGGAACTCATTTGAACACTAGAGGGCGAGATAGAGTCACGCCAAGAAGAGCCAGCCCTGTTGGGCAGAGCCAGCCTGCGATCCTGTATCTTCCTCCAAAGAACACTTCCTGGCCATGAGGCTGGCTCAGGAAAAGTCTGCCCCACCCTCTCCCTCATCCACTTTCTGGGTCTCATCCCCTCTCATCCATGGAAAGCTCCAGAACCACAAAGACATGGGGTCAGGACAACCGGTGTCTGGGAAGTTAAGCGTCCCTGGTTCCTATGCTCTCAGGAACCAATGACAAAAGCAGGATATCAAGCAGGAAACTGTAGAAGGCCCTGGAAGTCAAGAATTAAACATCCTCTGGGACAGAAAGCACAACACAAATCAGCACGGCTTTGCAGAATAAATCCCTCCCTACTGGCTTCGGAACACACAGTCCTTTGTGCCCACGGCCTTGCTGGTGAGAAGGAGTAGAATGGGAATCTGCAGTGTGAATATGAGCCAGGCAAGAAGGAGACACTGTCCCGTTCTGATATTTCTGTCTCTACTGCTTTCTAAAGGGGCTCTCCTGTTGACCAGTTGTATAACCTAGAGCAAGTCCCATGGCCTCACAGTTTTTGATTTCCTCATCTGGAGGAGGAGCTTAGAATCACAGCTGTCTCTTAGATCCTTTAAAAGCACAAGTGTCTCCCAGTCACCCCTGCACGGTGGGTCCTGTTGGTTCATGAGAGTGTTCATTCTGTCCCCCATCATCCCTTTACCCGCTCTCTCCAGGGGAAATGGGGCCTCCATTCTACAAAGGCAGACATGAGAACCACTGAGCTCCTGACACCCAGGAACCATGGTGGTGAACAGAGAACCCCAAGGGATGAAGGGGTGTGGCCTCTGGTTCCACTGTTTACCCCTAATTCCCTCATTTCTCTTTTCACATATTCTGACTGTGGGTCTGAGGCCGGAAACCCTCCTGGTCTCTCTTATGCCTTTTCTGCGTGAGCATTCTGCCAGTGCAAACCTTGTCTCGTTTACGAAATTATTGTTGGCCACCACATCCTAGACCACCCACAGTGGGCCCTTAACGACCGGGGTTTTTACCCCTGATGCCATTTGAAACTTACCTGGAGTCCAACAGCCAACTGGACAGTCTTAATAAAAAATATTCAAAATTAACTATAACAAGGCTTCTTTTATAGTTTCTAGTCTATGAGCCACCAGGCCCAACAGGAATGAACATGTAACTATATAGTTGGAGAACTAATATTTATGAAATTCTAACACAGCAAACTAGCATGTAGATTCGCATGGCTTTGGAGATGGTAAGAGAAGGCAGATCCGTGGGTGAGGTCGTCTTTGTCAAAACCTGATTTTGAGCTTTTATTTCTTGTCACTTTTTTTTATTTCCTGATCTTTTAAAGAAGACTGGATCTTAGTACTTTCTCCAAAAAATAAGGACCATTTTAAACTCTGGGGCGACTTCATAATTTAGTTTCTTGTAAAATAAATCCCAAATTTTGTCTTTTGCCAGGCAAGGAACCTGTAGTAAACCTCTATATTGTTACTCAGAGCTTTATTGTATCATCTGGAGTACTCTGGAGCTCCCCTTTCTTCATTCGCTTTAGTAGAATTTGAAGAGGGCTGGGAACTTCAGCGGTCTTGTCTTGCTTTAGGGCATTTGCTTTCTTTTGCCATAAAAAGAAAACATGCCAAATTAGCATTAGGAGAAAAGTGCCTGGAGGGGAGCCAATGCTCATGAAATAAAGGATATGTTTTGCCTCTGATTTGGTTCAACAAGTAAAAATGGTTTTAGGGGGTCAATAAACTCTGAGGGTAATAAGCATCTGGTAGAGTTTAAGGTTTCTGTGAGCCAGGTACATTCAGAGGTGAATGGCAAAGATGAACGCCAAGCACCTCGGCACCTCCAAAGGCTTAGCTCGGATGGTTTTATTGAGCACAGGCAACGTTGCTTATTTGTGCTAAGTGTGGTCCTTGGAAGAAACATAAGATGCAAAATCCCAACAGTCCAGAAACATCCAAACTCACATAGACATCCAAGATCTCATTCGTGGGGCCTTCAGCCAAAAAGGATTCTCCGGCGGTGCTCGAAATCTCATTTGGACGCTTGTAGGTGAACATGGTCCCTCCGCCCTCGTATTTTCCCGGCCGGTCAATTGCCCAGTTCCCGTTGATGATGGAGCGGCCAGAACGACTTCGCAAAGCTGTCAAGAACAACAACAACAACAACAACAACAACAAAAGAACAACAAGATAGTTCCTTGAGTAAGCCCACAGGGTGCACAAGAAAGTGAACTGGCTTATTCTAAATTCATCAAAGTGTTTCCTGAGGATCCACTGTGAAGATCCTCTATGGAGAAGATCCACTATGTGCCAGGCACTGAGCTCAGCCCTGAGGGGGTGAGGCATCTAGGGCGCGGCCACTTCTTCAACCAGCTCGATCCCTTCCACCACTTGGACTTAGTAGAGAAAGGAGGAGTGGGAGTGGTTAGGAGAGAAGGATGTGGAAATGGAGAGGGGAAGGAGAAAGAGGAAGAAGAGGAAAGGAGAGGAAGGGGAACTGTGTCATATCCCATTATCGAGGTGAGAGGTTGCACATGCGCAGCCTGGGAGCTGATTTTGGCCCACAGATAAGCTTAGTTTGGCCTTCATGGTGTCTTGTTTTGTTTTTAAATAATTAAACCCAAACTCAATTTGGGTTCTCTAGCTTCTAGCTTGTCATGTAAAACAAGAAGACATGTTAGCATTGGCTCGACATCCCCTCACTGCAGCAACCAGCTGGAGCTGAGGAGGACTGCCCCGTTAGATGGGGTCTGTGTGCTCTGGTTTGCCCCAACCCCACCGCTCCTTAGGAGTCCCCGACACTGAGGCTAAGTTTCAGTTTATTGCCCATTCATTTATGACTATGGATTATTTATTCCATCTATGATCATGCTGGCATTGTTATTTGTCTCACAGAATAGAAATTTTCTTATAGTTCTTTCTACTGGTAAGGTCTACTAAAAGTGACAGAGCTAAAGATAGCTTTAAGTGGGTCCCATAATTTTCTCCTACCTGATCACCTTCATTCATTTGTATGACCTTCCTGACTTCTGTGGGCTTTTGAGGCTAGATGCGCCCACATACAGTCAAAATTGACCCTCATGACACTGCTAAGCAGGTGTCCCCAGCTCTCAGAGCATGGTTCAGTGATGAGGGGGAACTTGTTCAAGTTCGTGAAGATGAGAAGCGATAGAACGGTGTCCACACTTAGGAGGGAAGTAAGAAAGGAGAAGAGGGGCAAGGAACAAAGTGTTCAGTTAATGAGAGAAGAAAGGACAGCATGTGAGAGCTGACTTTCTTCCTTTAGGCATCTGGCACCTTTGAACCCCCAAGCCAATGGTGGATTGAGTTTAAAAGACATCCGGAGTTAAGTGTCATATACATAGTAGGCTTGTGATGGTCACTGGCTCTTTGCAACTTCACTTGCACAGAGTTACTAAATTTAATTTTGTACAATGTATTATGGAAAAATTTATATATACACCAAAGCAGTGAGAACAGTGTAATAAACCTCTGTGTATACATCAGCTTCAGTAATTATCAACTCATGGCTTATCCTGTCTCCCTCTGCAAATCCCAGACCCCATTTATCCTTACATTTTTCAGGAGGTGTCTCTAAAATATAAGGACCCTGGGCGCCTGGGTGGCTCAGTTGGTTAAGCGACTGCCTTCGGCTCAGGTCACGATCCTGGAGTCCCGGGATCGAGTCCCGCATCGGGCTCCCTGCTCAGCAGGGAGTCTGCTTCTCCCTCTGACCCTCTTCCCTCTCATGCGCTCTCTCTCTCACACACTCTCTCTCTCAAATAAATAAATAAAATCTTTAAAAAAAATAAAATAAAAAAATAAAATATAAGGACCCTTTGTTTCTTAAACCCATTTTCAGCAGCATTTCTACAGTGGGCCTCCGGGGGCTGGCAGAGTCAGAGCTATTCCACGGGGTGGAAGAGCTTCCTATTTAGAGCAGGGGACCCCACAGACTCCATTCCTGGCTGGCTGGTTGCCATGGCCACTGGGAGACCACAGCTGTGGAGCACTGAATACCAAATTATAAAATCAATTCAGCTTGAGTGGCAAAGAAAGTCAAGAGTAGAGACTGAGGAAGAGTAGGTTTGGGGCCTTTTCTCTCAAAAATCGCACTTGAGAGTGGTCCATACAGTCTCCAATTCCTCACTTCCCATTCATTTCTCAACCAGCTCCAACCTGATCTCTGCCCCCATTACTCCATTGAAACAATTCAAATTAATGTCACCGAGCCCTCCATGTTGCTAAATCCAATGGGCATCTTCCAGGCCTTCCCTTGCTAGACGTCTCAGTAGAATTTGGCACTACTGACCACTCCATCCTAATTGAAACATTCTTGCTCTGGTTTCTGGGACACCACAGTGAGCTTGCTGTCCTCCTGCTCTCAGGATGCTAATCCCTTCTTTCTTTGCTGTGTCATCTTTCTCTACTTGGCTACTGAGTATTAGCGTTCCTTGAGGATGAAGATTTGGGTGCTGTACTTTCTTGGGCAAGTTCATCTATGCCATGGCTTTCATTACTGTATTCTACTGGCTTCCAAATTTCTGTTTCCAATCCAGAGTTCTCCTCTGGTCCCAGACTTCTTTATCTGATGGCTTACTTGACAGTTTCACTCAGATGTCTAAGACTGACGTCACCCTTGACCTCTTCCAGTGTCTACTATGTTAATAAGAGGTACTACCACCCACTTCATCAGAAATGGAGGAATTATCCTGGACCCCTCCCCCTTCCTTATCCCCTATATACAATCCAATCATCAAATTTTATTTGACCTCCTCTATATTTCTTGAACCCATCAACTTCTCTCCACGTCCACTGCCATAATCTAGGGCAAGTCCACCACCAGATCTCATCTGGACTAACTCGAAAACCTTCTACCTATTCCCTTCTTTTCAGCCAGAGTAATCTCTTCACAATGCAGGTTTGACCATCAACTGTGGCTCAACACTCTTTAATGGCTTTCTATTTCTGTAAGAGAAGAAGCCTCAATCCTTAATGGGTTGGGGCCCGCAGTGATGTGGTGCTGCCTCATCGTGCACCACACTTGTCTGCTCTCTGAGCTCTGCTTCCTGGCCACCTTTTAGCTCATCTAATACATCATGTTCCCTCCACAATCCATTCTTTTCTTCCAGAATCGTTTCTCTGAACCCAGAATCATATTTGTTCTTTAGACGTCAGCTCCTTACGGGAGTCTTTCCCAACCCCCAGTTCAGGCCTGTCTCTTTTTTATGTGCTTAAGAGATGCAAAAGCCTCTCCTCCAAGGCATTTAACTCAGTCTGTACACACATCCACTCAGAACATGATTGAACTAATGTTTGTCTCCCAGAGCACTGCAAGCTCCGAAAGGTGTTTCCTCACAGTTACAGGTCTAGTGACCAGCGCAGTGTTTACCATATAGTAGGAATTCATATTTGTTGAATGCAAAAATACATAACAGAAAAAGATACCAGCTCAAAGGAAAGATAGGCAAAGGATGATGAACAGGCAATTCAAAGAAAACCAAGTACAAATATTCTATATGGAATGGAATGGAAAGATGCCCTGCCTTACTTAGAATTTAAGAAATGCAAATCAAAACTGCTATGGTATCTTCTTGACCCACCAGATTGACAAATGTTTGAAAACATTTAATATTGCCAGAATTGGCAGGTGCATGAGTAAGCAAGCATCCATAACATTGTTGGTAGGAAGGTAAACTGATTCAACCACGTCGGAGGGCAATTTGGTTATATTGCTAAAACTTTAAGTGCCTATACACTTAATCCAAGAATTGTACTTGTAGGAAACTACTTTGGGGGATATACTTTCATAAGTATACAAAAGTGTTTGTAACAAGGATATGCCCTGCAGATTTTTTTAAAGAGAAAACCCCAAAACAACCTAAATATGGATTGCTTACATAGTTTGTCATACTGAATGTCCATGCAGGGGGATCCATGTGGCCCCCAAAACAGTGAGATAGGTCTGCGTGTGGGCGTATGGGAAGAACTCCATGATAAATTTTTAAGAAACAAAAAATGCAGAACAGCGTGTTTGGTATGATCTCATTTGTGTATAGCATATACATAAGACATGTATGCACATGCATAAAACTTTTCAGAGAAAATCATAAAACTGTTAACATTTGGGAACAGGAACTAGGGTTTAGTTTGGGATGTGAGATGAGAAGGGAAACATTTATTTCACATTTTATATCTTTTTATTGCCGTTTAAAATTTGTTTTACCATATGCATATATTACCTTCTTTAAAGCTTAAATCTTTTTTAGTTAACATAAAGGACATGGTACAAGCAGAAATACTCCCGAGGGATATACATATTTTCCCTTTTTTCTTGGTTCTTCTTAAAATCCTATTCAGAGCATCCAAAGCTCAGAACTGAGGTAGGTTCTGGCTAAGATTTTATTGCTCTTAATGGCAATCTTGTAGAAGAAGTTGTTATCTGGGAACCAAAAAAAAAAAAAAAAATCCATTAAAAAACCATCTGAAATACTGTACAGGAGAAAACTGCATGGGCTTCCCAGAAAATAAAACACGGGGACCCCGAATCTTTTTATCATCTACTACTGTTACCCAAGCACCCGCTCTCGGGGTTTAGATGAATCTTTCACCATATAATAGCAAAGTGTAAAAAAAAGCCGTAGGAGATTTTTAGCAGACAAGGGCCCAGTTCCATATGCCCACAGGTTAGCTTCTGAAATAGGTCCAGCACTAGCCCCCACCTGGGCTTGCATATTGAAAGCAGCTGCACCTACAATTTACGGGCCTGTAAGCAGTACCAGCGCTATGTAATGGGTGTCCAGAACTACCCCACAAAAAGGTGCAGGTGACTCACGGCTCTTGCTAGTGGGTGTGGTCACGGAAGGTCACGCTTTCTTGTCACAGCTACGTCAACAGGAGGAAATCTCCACTCTCGTCTGACATATGGATTTTATTTGTTCTAGCTGTCAACACTGGGCATATGTATTTGGCCTAAACTATGTGCACCAACAATGCCCTTCTCCAAGATCCATATAGGAATCACTTGCTCATCCCAAGTCCTGCTTCTCAGACAATTTACCCTACAACCTTAATGCCCGCTGTTGCCGACCCAACCACTGGTTCCCGCATCCAAACAGGAAAGGTGGTTTCTTTACGGCCA